CTGCCGCGTCTTACTCTGCTGACTTTTGCCGTGACATCCCCGAGTGACGCTGCTTGGCTAGGCTGGCTCGGCTGACTCTGGAGGCGTCTGGGATCTCCGACTACTTAAGGACAGCCTTCCCCAGACTCCCAGACTCTCGACTCAGACTCTCGACTCAGACTCCCCGTACCACCACCACTCCAACACTCCAACACTCCAACACTGCTACTCTACTACTGCTCTGCCACCTCTACTACAGCATCACCAACACCACCCACAACGTCGATAAAGGAAAAAGACGATGCCGGACGATAAGCCGGAGCTGCCGCGGCCGTACAAGTGCCCCCTCTGCGAAAGGGCCTTCCACCGCCTCGAGCACCAGACAAGACACATCCGCACCCACACAGGCGAGAAGCCGCATGCCTGCCTCTTCCCCGGATGCGCAAAGCGATTCAGCCGGTCAGACGAGCTCACCAGGCACTCGCGCATCCACTCCAACCCCAGGAAGCCCGGCAAGCATCACCACCACCACTCCCACCACCACCACCACCAGCCGGCTCCTCCGTCTGCTGCTGCTGCTGCTGCTGCTCCCGCTACAATGCTCGATGGCAAGGCGAGGGTCAGCTCCCGTCAGCCAGGCGGTCTCTCCCAACGTCTCGCCGCCTCACTCCTACGCTGTCCCCTATGCGGCTCACTCGCCCTCCGCGCTCAACCCTTACGCCAGGCCAGTCACCGTCTCGGCGCCCGCCTCGGCTGCCTCCACCATGGACATCAACATGCTGGCCTCGGCCGCCAGCCAGGTCGAGCGAGACCACCAGCTCGCTCCCTCTCCCACCACCGCCACCACCACCACCACCACCACCACCACGAACAACTCTACGTACAGACACCGGACAGCGTACAACCACTATCCTCCTGCCCTGACTCCCGCAACTGTAACTACCGCCACCAGCAGCTCTCCAACTCAGATACAAATACCCCCTGTGCCGGGCCTCCCCCAGGCGCCAGCCAGACTGCCCTCGCTCTCCGCCTACGCCATCTCCATGACCCGCTCCCACTCGGACGAAGAGCATCACCATCACCACCATCACCAGCACCAGCACCACGAACACCAACACCAAGACCCCCACCACCATCACCACAGCAGCAACGGCCACAGTCACAGCCATAACCACAACCACTACGCCTACAGGACAAAACGGTCTCGTCCGTCTTCGCCCAACTCAACGGCTCCTTCGTCTCCTACGCTCTCTCATTCTTCTCTCTCGCCTACGCCAGACCACACCCCGCTGGCCACCCCCGCCCACTCGCCCAGGCTACGGCCGTACTCCTATGTCTCGCCGGACCTCCAGCTGCCCTCCATCAGACAGCTGAGTCTGGCTGCTCATGCTCCGGCTCCTGCCCTGGCGCCCATGGAGCCTCATACAGACACCTCTTCCTCTCACTCCACCCTCACCCACTCCACTTACTCTGCTCCCGTAACGCCTGCAGCCACAGCCACCGTTACTCCTCCTCCGCTGGGGGCCGGTGTCAAGGGGCCGTCGATAAGTGACATTATGCACCGTGCGGACGGGACGCAGCGGAAACTGCCTGTCCCCCAGGTCCCCAAGGTAGCCATCCAGGAAGTCCCTCTAGACCTGGACAGATATTAATCTTTTTTTTTTTTCTTTTTTTCTTATTTTGCTTCTTTTGGGTATTGAAAAGTATTGGGGGTTTAGATGGGGTTGGAAAAGTGCATAGACATCACCGCTTCTCTTCTTACCCGCTTCTTACTATTATTACTATTTACTATTTACTATTACTATAGATGGGCGGCTTGCTGTAAGTAAAGGCTTATGGAACACGATTAATCTTCACTATCCTTTTTACATTACTACACTCTCTTGTAGAAGTGCTCGCCGGTCGACACCACCCTCACCTCGTCTCCCACGCTTATCCTAAAGTCTACAACCATTAGCATCATCATCATACGCATAAATAAGTATGTTGGACCTACCTGGCCTGCTCGGCACCAGCATCATGCCCAGACAGCCGCCCTTTGCGCCCGCGTCAATCACCCGCGTCCCCCGCAGCGTCTTGTCCGGCTCAACCGCATGTCGCTCTCCCGTGTCCGGGTCGACGTTGGGCAGCTTGCACCGCACCGTCCGACAACACACATGCACATCCACTCCATCCTCCTCTTCACCTTCGCTTCCACTTGATACCAATCTAATCATCTTCCACGCATCCTCCTTGTACGCCCCGACTCCCTCCACCACCACATTCGGCCGGAACCGCCTCACACTCAGCTGCGGAATAGCATACTGCGTCCGCCCATGCATATCCCGCAGACTGCCCATACTCTGCATCTGCAACGGGTACTCATCGCTAAACGCCTTGTCGGGAACATACCCCAGCTCCCTCTCGCTCGGCGCATTGCCCACCGCAACCCGCACATGCTCGGCGTGCACCCTAAACAGGCCCAGTGGCTTCTTACTGCCTAGAAACTCCGCCAGTGCAGCGGGGACATGCGTCGAATACCTCGTCGCGCGCGTAGGGATGCTGAACAGCCGCAGCTCTTCGAGGGGGTACTCGCTCGAGTCCTGCGGCGGGTTAAGCGGGATGCTAAACCAGTCCTCGCTCTCCAGCAGGCCGAGCTTGATCCCCAGACGGGTCCAGGGTGGGAGGCGGGAGGTGTCGCGTGGATAGAAGATGAGTAGCAAACCGCCTGATTTCACGCTGCGAAGGCGCTTGTCGTACGTCGGGCTGGTGGGATCGGGAATCCAGAGCTCAGGCCGGATCAGGGCGAGACGGGAGTATGTGCCGTTTCGTAGGGTTTTGGCGTCCCAGTGTCCGCTCTTACCGTTATCCTCGTCGTCGTTGTCGTCGGAGGTGTACTCTGCGAAACAGAAGCGGCGGTCCCAGGCGAGGCCGCTGTCTTTGAAATGCGTGAAGTTGAACTCGATGCCTCGACAGGATTTGATAGGGTACGCTATCAGGGCCTTGATGCGTGGCCCCGACTTCTCCTGGCCTTGTTTGAGCCCGTCGGTGCTGTATTCGTGCTCGTCGTGCAGGTTCGAGTGGCCGTCGTGAAGGCCGAGTTTGCGGCATCCCTTGGGCGTGCGGGCTCGTGCTCGTCGGCTCTTCAGCTCGTAGTATGCCATTCCCATCACGGGGAAGACGAAGAGTATATATAGCAGCGCAATGGCCACGGGAACCGGCAGGTTCAGCCGTGGCATCATCCCGCGAAGAAACAGCATTTTCTCTTCCTTCTTTTCGTCTGGTCTTCGTTTGGGCCGTTCTTCTCTAGCTACCCTTCTCGGTATCTCGACACAACGGCCCGCCTTCAGCCCTGATATATATATATATATATATATATGCCAGCTGCGTCAAAGGGCGCGAGCGCAAACGGTCTGTCCAACGTCAAGGCCCAGGTCATGGGCTGGTCTGGTTGCAGGAATCGTTATCTATTATTTCTTTCTGCATTTGCATCTCACTGCATACGAGCCTATCCACGGCAATTAGTCAGTAAATTTTCGCCTGGCTGGTTCGGCCTTTGCGAACGAACCCTTACCTGGCCTTATCTGGGCTTCCTCCGGCCCGGCCCACGCCCTTCGTCGCTAGGTCCGGCTGTCCGGCGATCTCAGCCGTTTTGCTGGAATGGCCGAGCGTGCCTTCGATCGATCAGCTGCGGAGTCCCCTCTGAGCACAGTTCGTCGTTTCGTAATTCTTAGTTTTGGGTGATGAGCGGCGGTGATCGGAAGTAACTGACTGACTGACTGCGGCTGGCTGGTGTTGGCTGGACCTCGGCTGGTTGGTGTTGGCTGGTGCTGGTCCCCCCCCCCCCGGGTTCAAAGAAAGCTCCACCCGCCAGCCTCAGGAATCTCCACGTCGACGTTCGACGTTCGACCTTCTTCATGGTAGAGACGAAGCCAGAGGCAGACGGACGACGATGGACGGCGATAGAGCTGCCATGGACGGAAAGATGAGGAAGTTCCTGGCCTACCCGGAGCCTCGAAAGGGGTGAGTTTGGCGGCTTTTACTTGCACTTACTTGCAACTTGTACTGATGAGTACCGCTGACGACGCAGGCCGGACGTCGCATACCGCAATGAGCGGAAGCAGAATCCCACCATGAGCGGCCTCGTGCTGGTCCTCGCTGCTTTCGTGTAAGTCTCCTTGCATATCGCCAATTGTCATCCTCGCTGACGGGCGTCGTGTCGTGTTGCAGATTCGAGTACGTGGGCATGATTCGACACCTCATCTGGAAGAACGCCGGATTCGCCAGCCTGCGCAAGATCAGAAAAGAGCTCGAAGACTACGAGCCGCGAGTCGACCCGACCGTCGTCCCTACTTCCGAGATCCTCGAAGACGATGACGCCCTTCAAACCCAAGAAGCGAATGGACAGAAGGTTTATACCGCCGAACCGCAGCTGGCGTCTACCGCCGTGCCGTCGCGCGCCAGATACTACACTGTGCAAGACTACCATGACATGTACGTCTCGGGTGAACTGACGCCGACGGCGGTAGCAAAGGCCATCTTGCCGCTTATACGCCGAGATACCACGCCGCCGGGAGAACACTCTGCTGCCTGGTTCGAGACGCGGGTTGACCTGGTTCTGGCTGCGGCTGAAGCGTCAACCTTACGGTATAAGCAAGGATGCCCACGGGGACTGATGGATGGTATACCCACCGCCGTCAAGGACGAGTACGACATCGATGGGTACAAGACTTGTCTGGGCTCCTTGAACGATTACACAAGCGATCCTGCATCCTCCGGTGGCTCCATTGCCAGCTGGTGTGTAAGAAAGCTAGAGGAGGCCGGAGCTGTCGTCCTGGGGAAGCTGTCCATGCATGAATTTGGTCTGGGTATGTATACACAATACCCCCATAAACAAGTATTAACAGTCAGTGTAGACACCTCTGGGAGTAACCCGAACTACGGCACTCCCCTCAACCCGTACAACCCCAAGTACTATACCGGCGGTAGTTCCTCCGGCACTGCATACGCAGTCAGTGTCGGACTGCTCCCCTTTGCCCTCGGAAGCGACGGCGGCGGCAGCATCCGCATCCCATCCTCGTTCTGCTCCGTCTACGGCCTCAAGCCAACCCACAGCAGAATCTCCCACCACCCGGGCCCCAACCATTCCAACACCTGTGCCGTCAACGGGCCCATAGCCGCAGACTTACAATCCCTCTCCGCACTCTACCGCATCATAGGCTGCCCGCCACCAACCTCACCCTTCCTGCCAGTCTCTCCAAGACTCGCACCCTGCAGTCCCAACGGCACCAAATACCTCGGAGTCCCCGAAGCGTGGTTCTCCCAGGCAACGCCCGCAATCCAACGTCTCTGCCGCTCCGCCATCTCTACCCTCGCAGATAAACACAACTACACCGTCGTGCCCATCCAGATACCTTACCTGGTTGAAGGCCAGATCGCACACGCCGTCACCATCCTCACTGACGCCGCAACTTTGCTCCCCGATACATCCAACCTTACAGCCCCGAACAAGATACTGCTTGGTCTGGGCCGCGAAACGCCTGCTACGGATTACTTGCTTGCTCAGAAGCTTCGTCGCTTGCTAATGCAGCATCTCTCCTGGCTATGGAAGGAGTACCCGGGTATGATCGTTGTGACGCCCACGACCAGCTGCGCGGGCTGGCCGATTCGGGACCAGAAGGAGCTCAAGTACGGTATCAGCGATGGAGACCAGACGCTGAAAACGATGAATTTCATCTGGTTGGCTAACTTTACTGGTCTCCCTGCGATTAATGTGCCTGCGGGATTTGTAGTTCCCGAGGGCGCGAAGAACGAAGGCGAGATCGCGGACGAGAATACCGAGGGGAAGATACCGATTGGGTTGATGGGGACGGGCGAATGGGGCAGTGAGGATTTCCTTATGCGTTGGGGCCTGGATGTTGAGAATGTCGTCGGTGATCGCAGGTCGAAACCGCCTGTCTGGGTGGATGTCGTTGCTAAGGCGAAGCAAGTCATGCAATCCGGCGTGTAGATATAATATAGAACATATTACATAGATATAGACAGGATCAACAGCTGACAAGGACCTTGATATTGAGGCGGAATTAGAGTTTCGTCTTATCGATAAGCCTTCGCGTAGTCGCGTTTTCGCGTCGTCGCCTAATTGAACGGCTGATGTGATTAACACATTGGGGACTATTATTACTATTGATGAGGGATTCTCTGTCGACTGCCGTCTCGATGGCCATGGTGAGCCATGAACAGAGACACAGCTAATTTCCAAGCAACACCAACACGTACGTATATACGCTCTACGGTAAATAACACATTGCTAACCGGCCAATAGTCCACTCGCAGCATCCCAGCCAATTACTCAGCTCATCAACTGGAAGGGCTCCTCTCTCTACTGGCCTACCACACCTCGACAAGGCCCTGATACCCCCCTTAAACCATGCTACAAATACACCTGCCGACGTTCTCCCAGCTGCATCCCCATTTGCGCTTCCGGGATGGACCCAGTTAGGTCCGAGTGCAGCTGGTGCAGAAGGCGGGAATGGCAATGTTGATTCTGGCAGCAATGGGAATAGAGACGCTGAAGAGTCACAAACTCCTTTGTCACCGGGTATTCGCAGAGGTGAAATCACGGAACTCTCGGGACCACGGGGATCCGGCAAGACCTCTCTGGCGTAAGTCGGCTTTTTTTTCCCTTCTGGGTGCTTTTACCATACTGACTGGCCTTACCTAGTATGACTACTGCCGTGAATGCATTGAAGCAAGGAGAGACGGTCATATGGATAGGTAAGGCAGATCTTCTACATTGAATTACTAACGACATGGGACTAACTAAGGGGCCCAGACACCGCTGGTCCAATATGCATGTCCAGGTTTGAAAAGATGCTATCAAGGGACAGCAACCCCCTCGAAACCCAGGAGCGACTACAAAACCTACTCCATTTCCAACCTACCACGCTCGCCCACCTGCTGGCCCTGATATCCCATCCTATCGCTGACTTCCCGCCACCCAACACAGGTCTGATAGTGGTAGATTCGATATCATGTCTCTTCGGCTCGGAGTTCCGATCCAAGCTCCCTGCAAAGCTGGGCAAAGGCAAAGACCTCCCCGGCGCAGGGTCAAGGGCCAACAAGGAGGCGCAGGAGTCCAAACTCTGGTGGAAACTGATAGGCAGCTTGTCTTCGAACCTCAATGCTCTTGCGTCTCGGTTCGACTGTGCTGTGATCGTGGTCAATGAGATGGTGACTCGGTTTCGCTCGGGCCAGAAACCGATGCTGCATGTTGCGATATCGGGGTATACGTGGGACACGAGCGTGGCTACGCGGGTGATATTGTATTGGCATTGGCTGGATGCTGGTGTCGGTGAGAAGTTTGGTATGGCGCGGATCAGGATTGCGGAGGTGTTTAGGGCGGGCAAGAAGGCTGTTTTGCCCCGGGCCGTGGAGAGGATTGTTCCATTCCTTGTAGAGGATGAGGTATGTTTTTGGTCTTTATGGAGGTTGATGATGTCTTATTTTCTGATGTTAGTCCTTTAGGGCCTGGCTGAGTTTATGAGGCTGCCGATTAGCTTGGGTGGTACAAGGGGCACGGTGACGCCTGTGACTGCGAAAAGGAAGCTTGACGGGGATGAGCTTCTTGGAGCTCAACTCCCTCGTCGGCCTAAGATTGAGCATGATAGTGAGGAAGAATACGAGGAGGAAGAGGAGGAGAGCGCAGAAGAGAAGAAGAAGAAGCCAGAGGAGAAACCGGCTGAAGCTGTGCTGGCGAGTACGAGTCTACCTGCTGAGATTATGGACAGCCAGGACGAGGAGGAAGATGAGGAGTGGTTGGAGGCTGTTGATCTACAGTCTACAGAGCCAGACACCCAGCAAGAGGAGGACGATACAGAGCAATTGCTCCGGAGCATGGTTGAGGGTGACGTCTAGATAGCAAGTTGATTAATGTTGTCTGTCCTGCCAGATTACTACATGTAGTAACCAGTGCGAATGCTGGTAGAAGCGAATTAGCGTATGTAAATATAGCAATTCTTTGACGAGAACGATCTCGGCATCGTCTTGGTCAGAAGAGCTTGTTCGTATCGCGGTTCGATAACCTCCCCGACTCCGACGTAGCGATGGTATATAAACCGCCGTTATCTACACCATCTCACATGCCTACCTACAATAAGATCAGAGTCAACAATAACATCGTCACCATGCTCCTGAGTCAACCATGGCGAGTCGGCCTGACAGCCCTCGGCATCGGCTTCAACGCGTACACAGTGCTGGTCCACACCACCTACGGCTTCACCAGCGTGCTGCCCATGCTGCGCTCGCATAAGAGCAAACTCTACGACATCATCGGCATCTGCTTCCAGCATCTTATGATCCTCCCCACGATCGGCAGTAAGTCACACCATGGATCCTCAAACCATAAATCATGTCATGGCTCAACCCCAACCCCCCAGCCGGAGATATATACCCCGGTGAAACTATTCCCTCCTGTGCATCAAACGAGTTTTGCACACTAATGCAAACATCAACAACTAATAATAATAATAATTGTGTAGTAATATTGCAGCTGAAGTGGTTCCACCACGGCATCGAAGGCCCGTTCGAAAAGCCACTTTTCTACACCTACTTGTTGGGCAACTTGGCGTGCGGAGGGTGGTATGCATCGATGGGCGTGGTGAATCCTCTGTTGAGCACGGTGTTCGCACCATTGGCGTCGCTGCTTTGCATTCTTTGATCGATGCTTGTCCTTGTATCATACATGTCTGATAATCTTCCAATAGAAAGAGTGAGAATATGCCTGTTTGTTTGCTGTTGAATTGTGTGCAGAAGTTTCTTAGTCAGTCGGGCAGATCCGGGGAGAGAGAGAGAGAAAGGCGTGGCCGGAGGAACCGCGGATGGGAGAACACATGGGAAGCTTCGTCACTCTCCGGGGCCCGTCATGGGTTGGCCGGCGATGAGAAAATTCCCCGGCAGCTTCAAGACTCCCGATCGGGACTTTCATGGATATACTTAAGAAAAGGAGATCTGCCGCATGCAAGTGCTCGGTCGCAGCAGATGTTTCTTACAAGGAGGCCGGCGTCCAGCAAGGAAGGATTTTGAAGATTTTGAAGGTCTGCTTATCTTATCATCCGGGGGGACGAGATGCCTCGGCTGTTTCCCTTTTGAGAAAGATGCTGCAAAAAAGTCATATTAGTCATCTCTTAGTCATCGCCAAGGAAGGCAGGTTTTTTTCTGTTGGGGAAGAGGTGCTTTGACGCTAGTCCTCTTTGGGTAGTCAGTTGTCTGGTACAAAAAGCGACGTTTTGAAGTAGACGAAGAGAAGAAGAGAAGACGGTTAGAGAAGACAATTAAAGAAGAAGAAGATAGAGTAATGAGAGAGTGTGAGATAAGCGATAAGATAAGAGATAAAAGATGACGACTAAAGACCAAAAAAAAAAAAGACGGAGAGCAAGAGTCTGTCTCTCTCTCTCTGTGGCGACGCAGTCTCGGTTCGATGATGTAGTTTGTTGGGAGGCGAGGCCAGCGCCGTTGGAGGGCGTATTACTTACATAAGCAGGTATCGTCATGTCACGGCTGATCGACTCTGCAACGACTAGAGGGCCTTCAGTGTTAAGAGATGCTCCGGCAGCAGCACCAGCTATGCACAGAACCTGCTGAGACGAAGCCAGGCCGCAGAGGAGGAGCCCCCAGTTGCAATTGGCCCAAAGGAGCAGCAGTGGCAGGCCCCCGTCGAGCGCTGGCAGCAGCAGCCAACAGCGAGTCGTGTATTGTAAATGCGATACCAGCGGCCGCCGCACCCAAAGCCCCCTTCCCTGCAGCCTCCACTCAGGCACCGCGAAAAGCAAGCAAAAGCTTGTCCCATCCACTTCCGCCCCAACAAGACGCCGGCGAGGACAAGGCAGGCAAAAAGGCAAAGATGCTGGCGAGGGCGACGGAGGCTTGCACAAGGAGAGGATGCGAGGGCAGCAAAGCAGGCAGGCAGGGAAGACGCGGGCAGCTGACAGGCTCTTCTAGCGCTTTTTCTCTTTTTCCCTTCTGGTGGTGCCATCTTCTTTTTTGCCTGGCTGGGGTGTTTATATAACTAGATCCCGCCATCCTCCTCCAGAGTGCATCATCATTCCTCCTGGACAGACAGACAGACAAACAGACAAACAGGACAGCTCTGGTAGACTCTGCTGTTTGCCTCTGTCATCACCGTCGCCGCCGTCGTCATCATTGTCGACCCTCTGCCTCCTCTGCGGTAGAGTCGAAGGGAGTCTTGCTTCTCCCACTTGATATCAACATCAACATTGGGTATTCCGAATATCACCAGAATAACAAACGACACCATGGGAGACGCCGGTCTGTCGACTGTCCAGCCTGCTCAGGCTCAGGCTCAGGCTCAGGCTCAGACTCCTCAGCAGCAGCAGGACAAGAAGCCGCATATCACAGATACCAAGATGACCCTCGCCAACTGGTATCAGCACGTCAACTGGCTCAACGTCACCCTGATCCTGGGAGTCCCTCTGGCTGGCTGTATCCAGGCTTTCTGGGTGCCGCTGCACTTCAAGACTGCCATCTGGGCGGTGGTCTACTACTTCATGACCGGCCTGGGGATCACAGCTGGTAAGTAGAAAACACATAAACGTATATATGAAAAAAGGACAATGAATGTATTATACTAACGAGAGTAGGATACCATCGCCTCTGGGCTCACTGCTCGTACTCTGCCACTCTCCCCCTGAGAGTCTACCTGGCTGCCGTCGGTGGTGGTGCCGTGGAGGGATCTATCAGATGGTGGGCTCGCGACCACCGTGCCCACCACCGCTACACCGACACCGACAAGGACCCTTACTCCGTCCGCAAGGGGCTGCTCTACTCCCACATCGGCTGGATGATCATGAAGCAGAACCCCAAGCGCATCGGTCGTACTGACATCACCGACCTGAACGAGGACCCCGTCGTCGTCTGGCAGCACAAGAACTACATCAAGGTCGTCATCGCCATGGGTCTCATCTTCCCTGCGCTCGTCAGCGGTCTCGGATGGGGCGACTGGATGGGCGGATTCATCTATGCCGGCATCCTCCGCATCTTCTTCGTCCAGCAGGCCACCTTCTGCGTCAACTCCCTTGCCCACTGGCTCGGTGACCAGCCCTTCGACGACCGCAACTCTCCCCGAGACCATGTCATCACCGCCCTCGTCACCCTCGGCGAAGGATACCACAACTTCCACCACGAGTTCCCGTCAGACTACCGCAACGCCATCGAATGGCACCAGTACGACCCCACCAAATGGACCATCTGGATCTGGAAGCAGCTCGGCCTCGCCTACGACCTCAAGCAGTTCCGCGCCAACGAGATCGAAAAGGGCCGTGTCCAGCAGCTGCAGAAGAAGATCGACCAGCGCCGCGCCAAGCTCGACTGGGGTATCCCGCTCGACCAGCTGCCCGTCATGGAATGGGAGGAATACGTCGAGCAGGCCAAGAACGGCCGTGGTCTGATTGCCGTCGCCGGTGTTGTCCACGACGTCACCGACTTCATCAAGGACCACCCCGGCGGCAAGGCGATGATCAACTCTGGCATCGGCAAGGACGCTACCGCCATGTTCAACGGCGGCGTCTACAACCACTCCAACGCCGCCCACAACCTGCTCTCCACCATGAGAGTCGGCGTCATCCGCGGAGGATGCGAGGTTGAGATCTGGAAGAGAGCCCAAAAGGAAAACAAGGAAGTCGACTTTGTACGTGATGAGTCTGGAAACCGTATCATTCGTGCTGGTTCACAGGTGACCAAGATCCCTGAGTCGTTCCCGTCTGCTGGCGCCGCTTAAACGCCTTTCCTGCGTCCGTCGTTTTGCTGCTTCTTCGACTTGTTGCTTCAGCGTCTTTCAGCGTCCTGCCTGTTCTAACCCGTTTCTTCTTAAAGACATGATGGTTAACGATTTGGTCTCTTTCCTTGCGTAGACGACTAGAGTCACGTCATGGGCCCGTGGATGACTGACCTTTTTTTTTTCTTATCCTCCGATGAGGATGCTATCCTTCGAACCTGGAGCTGGAGCTATTACCTGCCACTGGACAGACAGGCTCCCTCCCTCCGACCTGGAAACATCCCTCCGTGGTCCCGGAACGAAACCCCCTTTCCCTTCGTTGCCTCCTCATGACCCCCGTCAGAACCGTCGTCGACTATGCCGTGCTATGGCCAGGGAAACCAACAGGCCTCCCGCCATCTAATAACTTTGTACTCTTTTCTTTTTCTTTAGTTATTCACGTGTCTCTTTTATGTGTGTCTTGTGTCTCTTTGTGCTGTGTCTGGGGTCTGGAGTTAAGAGGAACTAGTTATATTGGGAGGGGGGAGGCTACTACAGAGTTTTATCCTTTTCTCTTACCTGCGCTTTCTATCAAGTGTCTTTGTCTACCAAAAAGTGTTTTAACTACCAGACAATAAACATAATTAATGATCATGATCATCTTAGCAGAGATCCATAACTATTACGTAAAACTAGCTAGCTATAACTAACTGCTTGGCTGTCTTTTCCTAAGGCCAACATCCTCTCTTTGCTGTCTTGCATACACAGCTTCATCTAGCTGCAAGTCACTCTCCCTGCAGCCTCAGACTATATAGATCTCTATCTAGATCTGCTCTACACCAGACTATATATACAGCCACTGCGACTGGCTCTGACCAGCCACCAGCTATCAGTTACACAGAAGAAACTGCTGCTCCCTGGCCGTCATCCTGGCGCTGGCTACGAGGCGCTCCCTCTCCCTCTTCCTGCTCGCCCTCCCGCTCTTCGTGGTCGCCGTCCTCATCCTGGCGCCTGCTCTGCGCTTCCCCGCCCTCGGGCTGCCGTCCCTGCGCGCCGCCCGCCCCGCCTTCATCTTTCCTCCCTCTCGCTCCAACTTCACAACATCAACATCAACAACCAGAACAACAGCAACATCAACACCAACAAGAGCATCGCTTCTACGGTCAACAACCGCCTCCAGACCGCTCACGACAGCTTCAATGGCTCCCTCTGCCCTGCGATCACCCCCTCAGCCCCCGCCGCTGTTCACAGGCACGCCCACCTCCGTCGTGGAAGACACAAAGCGCCTCATTGAGCTCTCGCGTGCCATCCAGGATGGCGTCGCCAAAAACGTTACTGCTGAAACAGCCTCCTTCGACAAGGTCGTGCTTCCACTGGCCCGGGACGAGAACACCATGGCCCTCGAGTCGCATATCCTAGGCTTCTACCAGTCCGTCTCAACAGACAGCAAGCTCCGAGATGCCTCCACCGAGGCCGAGCGGCTCATGAACGACTTCGGCATCGAGTCTGCCATGCGCGAGGACCTGTACAAGCTTGTCGACGCAGCGGTCAAGAAGAACGAGAAGCTCGACCCGGAGTCTCAGAAGTTGCTCGAGAAGGAACACAAAGACTACCTACGTAACGGGCTCGGACTGCCTGCGGGTCCCAAGCGGGACAGATTCAAAGAGATCAAGAAGCGGCTGAGCGATATTGCCATTGAGTTCCAGAAGAACCTTAACGAGGAGAACGGCGGGCTGTGGTTTACCAGGGAGCAGCTCGCTGGGGTTCCTGAGGATGTGCTCTCGGGCCTGAAGAAGGGTGAGGGTGAGAACGAGGGCAAGCTGAGACTTAGCTTTAAATACCCTGATCTCTTCCCCACGCTCAAGTACGCTATTGAGCCCGAGACAAGGAAGGCGGTTATGATAGCCAACGAGAACAAGTGCAATCAGAACATACCCTTGTTCAAGGAAACGTTGCTTCTCCGTGACGAAGCTGCTAGGTTGCTGGGATATCCTAACCATGCCGCGTTCAGGCTGGAGGATAAGATGGCGAAGAACCCCGAGACAGTCGATAGCTTCTTGGGCGATTTGCGCTCTAGACTGACGGATGGCGGGAAGCAGGAGATCAAGACGCTCATGGAGATGAAAAAGAAAGATGTCGAGACTCAGAAGAAGGCGTTTGATGGACATTATTTCCTGTGGGACCATAGGTTCTATGACCGCATGATGCTGGAGAAGGACTATTCTCTCGATCACCAGCTGATTGCAGAGTACTTCCCGCTCCAGACTACTATCCGCGGCATGCTGGAGATCTTCGAGCAGATCTTTGGTCTTGTCTTTGTTGAGATCAAGGGTGAGGAGAGAGCTAAGATTTCCAGCTCGGGCAAGGGCGAGGATATCGTTTGGCATGAAGACGTGCAGGTGTTCAGCGTCTGGAACGACGAGGGCGAGGGGAGCGGATTTGTCGGATACTTGTATCTTGACCTGTTCCCTCGCGAGGGCAAGTATGGCCATGCCGCTAACTTCAACCTGCAGCCGGTATGTTCATCCCTACCAATCATCAACACCTATAGCTCAATACTGACCTTGGAGTGCAGGGCTTCATTAAAGAGGATGGATCTCGTCGATACCCTGCCACCGCACTGGTCTGCAACTTCTCCAAGCCAACCGAGAAGAAGCCCAGTCTGCTCAAGCATGATGAAGTCGTCACTCTCTTCCACGAGCTCGGCCACGGAATCCACGATCTTGTCTCCAAGACCATCTACTCTCGCTTCCACGGCACCAACACCGTCCGTGACTTCGTAGAGGCTCCCAGCCAGATGCTTGAGAACTGGTGCTGGACTCCCTCCCAACTCAAGTCGCTTAGCAAGCACTACTCCACCATTTCACCAGAGTACTACAAGGCGTGGAAGGAACATGCTGGAGAGAAACCAGATCCCGCAGCTGAGATTCCAGACGATCTGATTCAGAACCTCATCAAGACGAAGCATGTCAATGCCGCCCTGTTCAACCTGCGACAACTCCACTTTGGAATCTTCGACATGACTGTCCATGAGCCCAAGGACCACGAGGAAATCAAGGCCATGAACGTCTCAGAGACGTACAACAAGCTTCGAAAGGAGATTGCTTCTCTCGACGGACCCGAGGTTCTAGGCCAGGGCTACTCCTGGGGTCACGGAGAAGCTACCTTTGGCCATCTCATGGGTGGCTACGATGCTGGATACTATGGCTATCTCAGGTATGTCGTACCCTTTAACACGATGCATTTGACATATACTAACACCTTACAGCTCCCAAGTATACTCCACCGACATGTTCTACACCGTCTTCAAAGACGACCCTATGAACAAGAAAGAAGGTCGTCGCTACCGCTACTCCGTCCTCGAGAAGGGAGGAAGCCAAGATGAAATGACTACCCTCAAGGAATTCCTCGGCCGTGAACCAAAGCCAGACGCTTTCTACAAGGAACTTGGCCTCGCCTAGACTCCTCTTCTTCCGTCCGTCTACTTTGCTTCAACTAAGCTCGAGTTATCGTCACTTTATACATCCTCTTTCTGAGCTTTTACATTCACCTCCATTATTATGGCATGCATGTTCTACCGGTGCAAGTTCTGCGGTTGGGTTGCTGTTCATTTAGCTTAGAGCTCGTAACTAGCTAGTCAGTTTAGTCATTATATCTAAAGGTCAAGCATACCTTACCACTCCTCTCACTCCTTTCTTTCCATACAGCGTCAACATCACAGCTCTATCATTGCCGCCTTCCGCATCTTTGCATCAGATCTAGCAACTAAACCAATTCCAGGCAGAAAGAATACTCACTGCGTGTTACTATCTAAACCCAGCTTGGTTGTTTGTTTGTTTACTCAAATAGAGAAAGGAAGGTGCATTTTGTACTATGGGAAGGTGCAACGTTGATGTTTATTTACATCTAAATTTAAACTTTCATGCAAACTTAAATTACAGATGGTATGAACTCAATTACTAATTGAATCACGTGTATGCCAGGGTTCCAACCTTCAACTTTTCTTCCTTGGAGGAAAAACAACTACAAAGTACACCCTACAATGGCAGGCCAAACCAGCGCCGAAGAGAAATGACAAGTCAAAGGCAGATGCTATCACCGTGGTCAAAATGGATTGAGGCGCCGATAGCAAGCCGTTGAGTCAAAAGATTTGGAATACCCCTGCAGCCACACTCGCACCCAGCTGTCGCTGCCAGCATACAGAGATGATACCAACAGGCCTATTTCGTACGTTTTTCATCCCGCCATTTCTTTCTTTTTCTCTCCCTGCGGGCGGCGAACGCGGCCTAGATCTAGATTCTTCTGGGAATTCTTAGCGATCGAAAGCGACGAGTCTATAACCTGGCCGCCTGGCGTCGACCCCTGCTACGTGGGGTGTCACGAAAATCGCCATGGCTCCACGTTACACCTTACCGAATAGATATGCTATTGCGAGCCTATCTGAACTGTCCGATTTACTTGATGGTGTGCCTGACGTCTGTTTAAGACAGCGTGATCATTAGGGGTCAGCAGCGCCAAAATGTCGTGGCAATGTGGACAGTGGCTTTTTCTTCTTCGACTCCTTGACACATTTACTGTTGGGGTATGCCGATATACACGAAGAAGGGGCGGCACGGGAGGTTGTTTGAAAGATAAATTTGATTCTTTCGGGGTTTGGTATGTACGACTTTGACGCTGTATTGGTCGAAGGCTATTTACCGGTTACATAGATTGTACATATCACAGGTATATATACTTGTGGACCAGCAACTAAGTAAGTCGTACTTTGTGGTGTAATGATATACAGATTCTTTGGTTCTAGATACTATCACATAAATTACAGATAACGCCAAATAAGGCTGAATAACCTATACACACATATCAATTTTCCACTCACCAGAGGGCAAAAAATCTACTACCAACGAAGAATCTATTGTTAGCATCTATCAATTTCTGTTTCTCCTATGACGTAGAGAATATTCAATTGCATTTAATAAACAGAAGTTTTCCAAATTGGTCTATGGACGATTTGACGGTCACGTGGCACAGCTATCAACCTGCAGCTTTGAACTTCTTGAGTAAGCAAAACAACAAGACAGAGAAGTTCGATTTCTCATTGAAGCTGTTTGGAAATTTAGAAACTACATCGAACCAGTCAGGTTGAAGATATAATGGTGACTACCACATCCCAGGACTCTTCCGCTCGAGAATCGCCCACTCCGCAACAGCAGGAGCTCAATGCAGAACAATCAAAAGCCAGCCAACCTCGAAGCCGCATACCTATAAGAACCTACCATTGCCGATTCTGCAACCATCTTCTCGTCGCATCCACACAGGATCTGTCTACGCTTCCTCGAAGACGTGCCCCAGCGTTAGACAATGCGATAATACTCCCTCTACCGAAGAAGTCTGCCAGCGCAGAGGATGAAGATGACGGCGAAGAGGAAGACGACGAGGAAGAGGAGGATAAAGTCAAAAGACACAACGAGAAAAACTCGGGAGAGGCCGAGATATCACAGCAGATGGAATCAGCTACATTGAAACCGGGCTCGAGGAGAGGGAAGTCCTCTGCCTCCTCGTCTTCGTCGCAACATTACACAATTTTGTTATCAACAACTACACCGGATAGAAAACCGATAATTCTACGGAGAGCAGACGGGTTTGAGAAACGGCTACTAGTGCGGTGTGGTCGGTGCAAGGTCGTGCTCGGGTATGTTCTGGACGAGGTTCACTTTAAGAAAGTAGAGGAGAACAAGGGTGGTGCCGGGGGGACGATAGAAGGGGAAGATAGCAACGTCTCCGGCACAAGGGAACCGGAGGTTATTTATATCCTTCCCGGCTCACTGGTCGAGACAGAGGAGCTGGGCACGGAGATTAAGATTGAGCAGGAGTCCTGGGCAGAGTGGGAGTCTCTTGCAAAGAAGGCAGGTTAATGAATGTTGACGAAAGTAATGATCTGTCAGTTTTAACAAGAAGTTGATATTACGATTCCATAAAATAAAGGCCCAGACACCGATCTCTACCGCTTATCACCAAAGAAAGATACTCTTCGACGTCGTGTGACAGGATGATCTCTGGACTCCCTCCCTATCCATAAACAAGCTGTGAAAAGAAATGATATATTCGTGACACGTAAAACACCGAGGCCGGAATAAAAGAGGTTTGAAAGGGTTGGACAGTTTAGTTGGCAAGAATCGTTCGGACGAGCTCTGTAGAAGTTTGTAAATTAGTTGCTGGCCCATCTGTTAGAAAACCAAGAGACAACTTACCGGTGTAGTTTATCTCGCCAGAGCTGGTGTCGACGGCCTTGAGGAGCTCGTCAACCTCTTCATCGGACATCTTCTCACCGAGGTTGGTCAAGACTGTCGCATAACCCGTTAGTACCGGCTACTCCTATGATAGAGCAGTAACTCTTACTGTATCGAAGTTGTCCAACACCGATGTAGCCAGTCATGTCCTTGTCGAAGACCTGGAAGCCACGGCAGTACTCCTCTGGCTCTCCTGGGTCACGGAATCCACCAGGTCGGTTGAGCACCTTGGAAAAGGCATCGAAATCAACTAAACCCTCATATATCAGTTTTTGTTTTGCCTTTGCTTCAATCACCAGCCAGTGTATCAACTCACAGTCTCCGCCAATTCCCTTCTCCAGGTCGCTGATCTCAGCGAGCGTTGGGTTCTGTCCGCATGCCCGCAGCAGATCACCTAGCGATTCCAGGGCAACACGGCCGGTTCCGCGCTTATCAAAGAGGGAGAATGCTTCCTTGTAGTTTGTAGAGGCCTTGTCGCCGTTGTTATGGTTCTCGTTAGCCGATGCCATGATGATATACTGAATTTATCGAGTGTGCTTGTCTGGTTCCTGGGGAATAAATTCGCTGGTTGAGGATGACAAGAGGCCTCTTATTCTCCGAGAGCCACGTCAGGGTGAATTCGGGAGACAACCACACGAAACGAAACGCAGTCGCAGGCTGGATCTTCTGGCAAGTCGCAAGGCAGCTTTTTTTTTTTTTTTGTTTACTGTGGCGACGCAGGCAGAGGCAGACAAGACGCTGTTTCTCGTTTCTTGGGTGCGGCGGCGAGGGAGGGCAAGGGGAGCAAAAGAGCATTTTTCACGTACCATGGTTCTGCGTGTTTGTGTTCCCCAGTTGCGTAGGCGAAGAGGATAGAGGGCAGAGGGTTCAGAATGTCTTCTTTTACTTGCTGGACAGCTGGAGGTGGATGGCGATGGTGGTTTATATGTCAAGGAGAGTGTTTTCTGTCTGTCTTCTGCTGATCTGCTGCTTTTTCTTCTCTGCTTATCGCTGCGGCCAGGCCAGCCGTCTCGTTGCCATGGGAGACGGGACGCCACCAGCAAGCCCCTGACCAGCGCATACACCGGGACTAACGACCCCGAAAGTACAGTACTCTACAGATGAAGCCTAAGAGAAGAGAGATGGAAGATAGAGCGTCGACGATGGTGGTATAGTTATAATTACAAGACGTTAGGGGGTCGGAAAGTCGAGATAGGACTGTATAAACAAGCACCCAGAGAAGATGAAGAAGGCGAAACGAAGACATAGACGAAAAAGACAGTCCAGTTCAACTGAATAGCGAGTCGGTAAGAGAAAGGAGAATCTTCGTGAAGTCCCAATAGTAGTTACCAGTCATTACCTTTTTTTTTTTTTTTGTAGCCCCGAGTTCCCTTGGGCCAAAAACATGCGCCCTCGATATCCTACTTTCTAAGCGCCAGAGACACAGAACAAACGAAAGAGAAGAGCAAAACAAACACAAGGAAGCACGGAGAGCAGTCAAGTAGCGCTGGAACGGAAAAGGGAGTCGCTTGATGATGAAGTGGCGGCGGTGTGAAGCGGATGTAGGTGAAAGGTGATGACTTTTGTCGGTTGCAAATATCAGACCAGACCAGGCGTCCGTAGATATAATGTAGATGTAGGTAGGTAGATATATAGATAGATTGTTGTTTATGAGCTTGGGGCGATGGTGATAGAAGAGCCCTTGAGCTTTTCGATACAGCTTCCTAGGAGGTTGGCTGCTTCGTGGAGCAGCTCCCATCTGGTGTTGAGAAAGTCTGCCCGCAAAACCATGAGAAGTCCCATACACCGATTTCGATCTCGGATCTTCTCAAGGTCGTTAGGGTGATGGACACCGCCCACTCGTTCGAGGAAGACGTACATGTCATGTCGTTGCTGCTCGGGCGTGGTCAGTTCAGGCGGTGATGGGCGGATGGGACCGTCCAGTGCAAAGCCATATGACCAGACGACCAAGGCAGCAAAGTAGAGTACCCACGGCCGGCTCATGATAAAGTCCTCTCTCGCGCAGTAATCTTGTACGTTCATGCTCGATCCGGTCACTTGATGGTCTGGCCTTGAATGGTTATTCCGCAGCAGGACCTGTGACAAGAATTTCAATGCAAAGAAAGTAGCGTCTCTAGCTGAGTCCTTGTTGGCCCATCGTTCGACCATTTTCTCTTTTGCACAGCTGAAGTCTCTAGGTGTGATGGCTCGTCCGAGCAGCCGGGCGGCTCCAGCAAATATCTGGCAGTCCACTACGTCGACATGAGAAGCCATATGAGCAAGATGGTGGAGGACGTTTCTCGTCTCGGAAAAGACGTCTTCTTCAAACAGGTTCTGCTGCCGTTGCTGGTACCCACCGGACGATGAATAGCTGCCGGTAGATGGGCTGGGGTCGTTGGCTAGAGATTCATCAAAATCTCGCTTCCAGTTGTCAAATGCTCGGAGCATGGAGGATCTCCACTTGTCTCTGAAGCCGGGTACTTGAGAGACACCCAAGGAATTAACTTGTAGATCTCGCTGGTTCATGTGCCAGCTTACACTCAGAAGCCCAGCCATAATGATTGTGCGACCAAAGGCATTAGTTCGCACCGTCTGGCCCGTCAATGTCTTCTTCAGTCCTTCAAGGAACATTGTTGGTTTGAACCCGCTGGAATTGAGACGTAGCTGTACCTTGGCCGCTTCTGCAGGACAAGGAGCAGACCAGAGACTCTCGTCACAGGGCAGCGGCAGCCTCATTTCGTGGGCGGCCATCTTCACCGAGTGTCCGAACATAGTGGCATGGGTCGAATCCAAGACAAACGCAGCAAATGCAACTCTTCGGGTCCCCTCCGACTTTATCCAGCGCAGCCATGATTCGTCAAAGTGGACTGGCTCAGAGCTGCCGGAGGATGAGGGGACTCCTGGGCGCTGTCGGTTGTCCGACGGAGACGGAGGCGAGTTGAAGGCTGTCCGGCCTATTAGGGAGCTACCACGGCGCATCAGTGTTAGTGTGGTGTCATGGTGGATGTGTGCTCGTTCATGTAGCTCTCGTGTAGAGTACATCTTCTCATATGTCTCAAGAAGTAGCAGTGTTTGAAAGACCCAGAGTTTTGCCGGTGGCCTGAAATCGGGATCCATGAATAATTCCCATCGCAGATGAACGCAGATGAAGTTTGCCAGCTCTGACGCCGTATCAGTAAATTGCTGACCACGGTTGTTATCCAAAGTAACAGCTCCAAGGGCCATTACAGCGAAGAGTAGGAGATTAGGTGTTTTATCTGGTGTAAAGGTGTGTTTGTGCAGGATAGGCAGTTGTGCATGGCAATGATACCAGTAAGAGCTGATATATGTCTGCATCATGCGCAGACTGAGTATATGGTTGTCTGCATCCATATTGCCCTCCATGAACGTCTCCTTGCGGCTCTTCAGTGAGCCACTGCCGGATTCATTGAACCTCGTCTGCATTAGATCTAGCAGTTCATTTCGTTTCTCTTCTGACATAACCGAGTATGGCGGCCCAGAGTCAAGAATACTGGTAACGCTCATTGGATGATGTTGCTGCTGTTGCTGCTGGGGATTCCCAGTAACATACCCGGATATGGCAGTCGAATCCGTAGGGTAATATGGATTTTGGATCTGTCCGGAGAATGGGTCAAGGTAGTTGGGCATTATCGTTGATACTGCAGGGAACCCAGCTGCGGACGACGTATTCGAGCTTTCATTGAAGAGCCAGGCAGTGAAGTCATCAGTCAGGGCAAAGGGAGAGCGATTCAGTATCTCGCTGCCAAACACCGGCAGGGCATATGGCCCTACTGAGTCCATGTTGGATACCGATGTTTCCGAGTGCATGGCCGTTGGCATGGAGGTCATCTGGCTTAAGGTGCTGGCCAGATTTGCACCAGACGAAGACTGACTGTGGGACCTGCTCAGGACGGGGCCTGTGAAGCCAGAGCCAGGGAGGACAGCCGGCATGTGCATGTTCTGGCTCTGTGGCATGTACGTGTTGGTAGCCATACCGTTTGCCAACAAGCCGGACGGCATGCCAAATGGAGACACGGTATGGTTCCCGGCAGGACTTGATATCGACGGCTGCCGTGACTGTACGGAGTCGGACGCAACAGACGTCCCGGGACCTACCTCAGTGGCCCCGTTCAGCGGTGATATCGAGTATGGTGGCTGTGGCGTGTTATTATGCGTGGTATTATTATTATTATTAGTATGGTTGTATGGCTCGTAGCTGGAGCAGTTTGGTTCACCGTAGACGGCCTTCTGCTGCGGAACAAGGTATTCCCCTGTATTTCCATCTGACTGCCGCCGTATGGAGTCCGCGCTGCCTTTGTGATATGTGCTCTGGGGTGTCTGTAGTGATCCGGCGTGGAGCTCTGTAGGAGTACCGGCACCAGCACCAGCAGCGCCGGCATTAGCAGCAGAACCGGCCATGTTAGAGGCCAGGTAGCCCTGCACAGACATGAAGCCATTGCTGCCGGCGCCGTTAACAGCCTGTTCAGCTATCTGTGAGCGAGGAGGTATCGATCCTGCTAATGACCTGGCCTCGCTGGCCGGGTTGTTGCTTGTATCTCTGGCAGACGACGGCGAGCCCGCGCCCGGGCCCTGAGTAGCGACATGATCGCGCTTCTGCAGCTGCGAGCCGTGGGTATTATGGCGCTCCTGGTGCCGGATGCACAGGTCCTGGCGAACAAAGGTGCGGAAGCAGTTGGGGAATTCGCATCGATATATTTGTTTGGGCGAGTCTTTCGCGAAGTCACGATGTCAGCTCGACGTCAACGTCAAAATGTCAACCACGACCACAAAACACCACGAAACACCCCGACAGGTACCACAGGAATGCGCAGCGAGAGATACGTACGATTTAGCTGATGGCGATACAGATGCTCTGCTCGCGAGTAACTCTTCCCGCAGCCCTTGTGCTTGCACTCGAACTTCTTGCCCGTGGCGGCCTTTCTGGTGCGTTTCCGCTTCTTGGGCGACCCGTCCGGCTTGACAGGCGACTGCACCTCGTCTGACGGACTGTGAGAGCTCGGAGGACTCGGCTCCTGTTCTTGTGCGGTTTGACGTTCCTGGCCCTGGGCCTGGGCCGGTGCCTGGGCCTGAGCCTGAGTCTGAGTCTGAGTCTGGCCCTGAGCCTGAGTATAGCGGTGCGCGGTGACGGCGGAGAGAGCGAGCGGGTCAGCGTCGACAAACATCGTCATGGCGACCTTTACTCTACCTCTGCAAGCTCGACTCTAGATGCAGTCCGGGAGAATGACATGACCCACCCTCGCCCAGGATGAACGCAAAGACTCGGGACGCTGAAGGTAGACCTGGAGCTGCTCTGCGCGATAGCGCTGGCATCGGCCGGAGGACGAAAACAAAGACGACGAGGACGAGGCCGAAGACGAGACGACGAGGGTGATGTGTGTGTGCGTGAATGTGGTGTGATAGTGGGTAACTAAAAAAGGGCCGCTGCTTCTGCACGTCTTGATATGTATGGACGGCGTCCTGGGGACGGCTCTTTTTTCTTTTCCCCGGGCCAGTTAACTACAACAGCCTATGCGTCGTGCGTCACCAGTGCGAGCGGTGGAAGAGCGAGAGAGAGAGAGATGGGGTACGGGGTATACTATAGTATACCTATCAGCCAGCTGGGCGCTGGGAAAGGGGCAGAGTCAAACACGACAAGCGACAGACGACGGCAGGTTTAGTAGCCGTCGGGGCAGTGGAGATGGACACCGAAGAGACAGAATGCTGGAGAAGCCAGCCCAACGAACTGTTTGGCCTCCATGTGGGATGATGGTTGAGGCTTCAAAAAAAAAAAAACTCGCTCGACCTGCCTGCCAGCAAACCAGTGCGTCTTATTACATGCAGCTATATTAATTACGGGGACACCACCGCCTGTGTATGAACCCTCGCCCTTTACGGAGGCCAGCGGGAAGCCCCAAAAGGGGACGTCCAATAATTATATCAGACTCTTTCCCAAGGCGCTTATACGCAACGGTTTCTCCACCGCACAACCTTGACCTTCTCGCCCATGTCACGGAGTATATATACATGGCTTGATGCTATCGCCTAAAGATGACATATTTCGACTGCCTACGGTTGCTCCGAGATCAGTGACAAGAGGTCAGTCCCAGCGGCGTGGGGTGCGAACTCCTTTCAAAAGTGCGATTGATGACCTGATGCTTGCTTTTTTCTACGATGTCTCTTTATATCTTTTTTTTTTCTTTTTTAAATTCTTTTTTCTCGTCTAATATTATTGCCCTGTTCTTTTTTGTTCTTTTTTAAACATATGCTTTTTCGGCCTTCATCCACTGGGCATTTCGGATTGATGCACCCTTTTACCCGGAGTCTAGTTCATGATTATTGAATCCAATGCAAGGCAGCTAACTGGTGCTAACAAGTTCCCATCACGATACCCGGCCCTATGATCGTAAGCGCAGTCCTTGGTGGGCCTGTCCAAGGGCCTCTGGACCTGGACATGGGGCAGTTTTGGGAGGATCCCTCATTTCGTATTTCGGCCACGGCGGATGGCGATAAAATGGCAGATCGAGATAAAACAATTCGACCTAGGGCCTTCGGGGGCATCAAGAACATGTCCGCCTAACTACTGGCTCAGAACCTCCAGCGACGTCTCATAGCAGTCTTTTGTTTTTTTTATCTTACCGCTGTCACTCGGCGAAGCCCGCAGCGGGAACCGGATCGGGCCTCAGTGAAGCGGACAAATGAGCCATTGCCATGCCGCCATCTAGCCCCAGGCTAATTTACATTTGGCTGGGTTACCTCAGTGCTGTTGGTGCGGCGCTTCTGGCTGCTGCTGCAAAGCCTGGAGAACATTACGAAAAACTACTGCACGACTTACCAGCCGCATGGCTCTGCTGGGTCATATTATGCATTTACTATATTGGAAAACGATACCTTCTCCACGGGCGCTTCTTTGACGGTGATGGTATCAGAGGCCGAGATCTGACCTCCTTCGCTCACTTGTGGGCGGCTTCTATTGCCGTCGTTGCGTTCATATTTGCCTCTTCCCTTTCAGGGGAAGCCTCGTGGCTACTGGTATGGAAGCATGATCTGTCCAACCTCCCAGCGCCCCATCTTCCTTCGGACCCCCTTGAATAATAATCACCGTTTAGCAAACCCCGAGATGAGATATATTTGGCGGTTTGAAAGCAATTGAGGATGAGAAGAATGCTTGCTGACTTACTACTAGCCTGTCATCACAACTATCGTCCATGTGATATTTCTTTTGCGAGAAAAACGCTCTTTGTTATCGCCATCGGACAGCTCACCTGGGAATTTTATACCCAAAGGATGGCTCTCCTTCGCCCAATTAACTGGACCAGCTGCTGCTGTCTTACTCTCTTTGGTTGACTCGGTTTTCCTATTTCGCCAGAGTGGAGATTTGAATTCATCACCGCTACCCTCTATCCTGCGCCTGTCCGCTTGGATATGCCTGGGTTGGTGGACATCGAATAGCATTCGGTCAACAACAGTCTCTGAAGGCGTGGATGTAACATCTTCTCTCTCACATGGTGTTACACCAAGAGTACTTTTCGTATTGACCGTATCTCTCGCCCTACGCGGCCATGTACCAAGCTTTACACGCGTCCAGATCTTGGTCTCCTTGCTTTCGGCCTCAAAATGGATAGCAATATTTTCCCTGGTATGTATCAAAAGAAGCCCGCACTCTCCTTCTGGCTTACTGCGTAGGGTATAAACATAGATATAGAAACATTGCTGACGTTGAACGATATATGTCAAGGTTTCGGGAAATGGCCCTGCTTCTGCAAGCACTCTAGATTCATTTGCACTCTTCTCGGCCCAGGCAATAAACGTCAAGCAGACCAATGAATTTCCCGTTCTATTTTTGTCAGCCGCAGTAGCCTTGATACAAGGGGCAATTGCTCTGCCGAAGGCCACACGACATCAAAAATGGCTAGCTCTGCTTTTGTTGATCCCACTCGCCGGCATTGTGCGTAAGGAAGCCTCGATTGACCTTGGATATTCCCTCTGGGACGGAACGATTGGGCGTGTTGCAGATGTCCCCATCCACCCCATCCAACAACTCGCATCAGATGCTCTGAAAAGGCACCGGCACCTGGTGGCAGGCCAATCCAAAACTTTGGAGGCTGCCATTAAAGAATATGAACGCCGATATGGCCGAAAGCCTCCTCCTGGATTTGACGTGTGGTATAAAGCTGCAACACAGCGAGGATTCATTCTTGTCGATGAGTTCAATTCATTAATGGAAGGGCTGGAGCCATTCTGGGGGGTTCCTCCCGCCGTGCTTCGTGCCCGTGTGGCTGCAGCAACGCAGATCTCAGGTTCAAGGCTCATCCGCTATTCTGTGAGAAATCGTCATCTGATGGCCGAAAATGACGGTGAGGCTACTTGGATTACCAACCAGCTAAGATTATGGTTTACTCCTGAAGTTTTGGAAACTGTGCCTGATATAATGTTTGCCTTTAACTTACTTGATGAGCCAAGGGTCGTGGCTCCCTTTGATGAGTTAGTGGAGGCTCAATTTGCAAGTAAACTGAATAGCTCCGTAGGGCTCTCGAAATCTTTCTCAGAAACTGTCGGGTTCGACAAGGCAAATTCCAACAACATGTGGGATAGCATGACACTATCCTGTGACCCCAAATCTGCAGCTAGAAAAGGCCCGAGCAGATTCAGGCTCCCTCACAAGGCACTGGCCAGCAGCTTCGTCTCCAACACGAGCGTTGCCCACGATGTCTGCTCCATGCCAGATCTCCAGATCCAACACGGATTCTTCATTGCCCCCGAAACGGCAAGTATAGCACATTCGATCGTCCCCATCTTCTCACAGGCCCGGCCTTCAAGTTTTCAAGACATTCTTCTGCCGAGCGTATACTATGGTGCAAAGCTAGAGCTGCATGAATACCAGGAAAGCCAGGATATGAAGTGGGATGAGAAAGAGAATATCGTCTATTGGGCAGGCTCTTCAACAGGGGGGCATACCAACGTTAAGAATTGGCGTAACTTCCACCGTCAACGACTGGTGCTCGTAACCTCCCACAATACTACGAGGGTTAGACTTATGAAAAAGGTCCCTGGACCCTCGTCGAAGGACGGTAACACCACATCTACTTGGCGCACCTATACGTCTAAGATGGGACAGATTTCGTCCAAGATCAAAATCCGAATTTCAGCCGTCATCCAATGTGAGCAGGATGCATGTGATATGCAAGAAGCCGCTTTTCGACCAGATGAATACCCAAAGGATGATTTCAAAGCAACTTATCGAGCAATGTATAATTTAGACGTTGACGGCAACGGTTTCAGCGGCCGTTACCTTCGCGGACTCTTGTCCAACTCTGCCATGATGAAGCAAACAATATTCAAAGAGTGGATTGATGATTGGCTGACCCCTTGGCTCCATTATATACCCGTTAATATGGACCTGGTAGAATTCCCAGAGTTGATACGATTCTTCACTTCTGAACCTGAGGGGCAGGAAATTGGGAAGAGCATTGCGATGGCAAGCAAAGACTGGGTGCAGAAGACGATTCGAAAGGAAGATCTAACACTTGCCCTTTGGCGAGTGATGTTGGAATATGCACGGATTATGAAGGATGATAGGGACTCTCTGCAATGCTGTTCTTGATTTGACTGTTGTTGACAGTATTTTTGTTTGCTGGAGCGGATTTTAGATATATATACTGGATGGGCCTTTTTTTTTTTTTTTTTTTTTTTTTTGGTTGGAAGCGATATCTGTTCCGTACACGAGAGGCAGGGCGATGTATTCATATTTCCCTTATTGGTTTCTAGATTTTGGTTCTACTGTTAGCATGGGGGATGCATACTTACGAATATACCTTTTCTGATGCTTACGCCGGCAACCGGGAATAGACGTCTTGGTAACCCCCCTATTCTACCTACAGCCTTATCCACGGATGGCAAGCATGCTCTAGAATACTAAAAGATATATACCATCAACAGAACCCAACGCCCATCTTGTCCGAAATGTCCACCTCAAGCCGTACGTCTTTAAGTATAATGTAAGAGGATCGAGTACGAATTTTGAGGAGTGTTGTAAACGTGAGGTAAAGAGTACCGGAGTCGGTTAAAATAAATGGCTTTGGTACAGGTTTTGTTGAAGCGAGCTGATAGTAAAATTGGGAGATGATCAGGCCAATCAATTACTGTTGCGAAAGTATCGTAAAGAGCTTTTCTGTGCCACCTCTTATCGGTCGTTACCTATGGTGGAAAGACTTGTCCATCACTCGAGCTTAACGATATAAAATCGATACCTACCTACCCGGTAAAGCGGAACCGTGTAGCCTCTAATCTGCCTAAGCCTTCCCTTGGTGCCACGTTCCGGCGTCTATATGAGTTTGTGAAATCTGTGAAGGAAGTGTATGAGTTAGTACGACGAGCGAGGTTGTTGAGATCGTTTTGAAAGGAAGTGTGACGGTGATCGGGTAACGAACCTTGAAGGACAACTCTAATCTTCCTCATGTCGCCTAGTTGGGCATACTCCGAGAGAGTTTTCATCAGGCGCTCGCTTTCGCCAGGCTTGATGGAGCGGGCGGGCAGCATCTGGATTGTGGCTTCAATCCAGCTTGCTGTTTCTGCGGGTAAGAGTTCGAAGCATGACATCAGAACTGCCGAAGCATCTGGGAAGCAGTCACCAGGAAAAGTAAACATCATTCCGGTTAATACCCGTTGCACGAGGAAAGAGCCCTGTGACACCATTATTTGCTTCACACCAGACCTGATCTCCGGCGTGTTCGTATAGACTTCGCCCTCCGGGGTTGTGAAGTTGGACACAGCCGGCTTCTCAAACCCAAAGCTGACCAGGTCACGGAGATACTGTAGGGTGGCGGTTAAAGGTTCGATCTGCTGGAGGGTGAGTGCACTCAGAGCAGCAGAGAAAATGGGGACAGAGAGATTTGACGTGACGGTGTTCTTGGGGAAGAATCTGACTGCATCTGTTGCTAGTCTGAAGAAGTCCTCGATCACTAACAACGTATATTAGCATTAACGACAACGAACCTGAAGAAGGGTTATACATACTGTCAGGTAGCTGCTCTGGAGGCAGGTCATTGAGAATTCGGAGGAATAGGACGACTTGCTGTTCGAAAAACTGGTAAACGGCAACGCTCGTGGGGTTATCAACAAGTTCTGCCCCAGTTGAGAACTCTCGGACAATTGCATCTGTAGCCCAGAGGAAACATCCTTCTCTCGAAGCCTCGAAGCCTGAGGAGATGTTTTGGGCGAGGGTCGGAAGGAGAGGAGCCATTGCATTGCGGTATGAGATGATCATGTATCGCCAGCATCGGCAGACTCTCTCGAGGATCGGAGTAGATTTCGTGAAATTCATAACTATCGTACTAAGAACGGGTAATATATCTCCGCAGTATTTCACTCCAGGGTTCTCTTTTCCTGGTTCGACATAAGGAGAAACCACCTGGATGAAGATTGCGATTAATTGCAAGTGATCTAGAAGTGTCAATCCTTGTCAGCTCAGTTCCTATTTGAAGGAAGCAGTTTATACATACCAGCTACGGCCTTTTGGCCGTCTTCATCTTTGGCGTTGTTGGCCAAGTTCATAATTCGAGACATAAGGGGGTTGCAGAATAATTTTAGTCCTTCGTATATCTTTTCAACTGGCTGAACAGCAAGAACAGCCGCAACACCCTCAGTGACCTCCTCCTGACTAGATGGCTTCAGACCATCAATAACAGACTCGTAGAAGGTATGAAGCTGTGGAATGTGAGAGCCGAGCAGTTTCTGGCAGTCGGTTCCCAGGAACTTAAAAGCAAGGGCTGCCGCCTGCACAACTTCCTGCGACTCGTGCTGGAATCCGGAGATGACATAGTTGAGTTGTGCCTCCAGTGTTTCTGGATGCTGTGCGGTCCATTCGGTATATCTACCAAGTGCCATGATTGCCTGGAAACGGACCTTCTCCTGGTCTGGTATGCGCACAATGAGGGGAATGATTTCTGGCAGGACGTAGCTCTCCTCTGCTTCCACCATTCGTCCCATCGCACGCATGCTGAAAAGGGGTGCTTCCAGTTCTTGCCAGTGAGGGACGTGGTCGTGTCTTGCTTGGGGCCCGTATTTGGCAACCCAAGCCTGAATAAGACTGTATGCCTTTCCAAGACAGTCGGAGACACCGATAACTGCACAGCAGTCTTTAAGGACGTCTCCCATTGAATGTCTGAAGCTTCGGAACTTCTCTTCCTGCTCCCTGTCTCCGTCGAACAGGTCACTCTCGTCTCCGTCAGTGGAGGGATACTCTAGGTGTTTGATCATGACATCCACGAGTTTCGAGAACAGGTCTCCCAGGGTAGCTCTAGCTCTTGCGTATCGCTCCAAAGTCAAGTATTGTTTCAGTTCATACCAGAAGACGAAGGTAATGGAGATAGCGTCACGATCTTTGTCAACTGAGCAACACTCTAGCACGGCTTCCACCAAGTTTCTGAAGTCTTCAGGTAGGCGTGCAATTAGGAGCACCCAGGCTTCTGCAGCCTCTGCAAACAACCGAGTAAGGCCCCGTAGTAGGTCGACATCCTCCGTTTCTGCGGCTTCTCTGATTCTGGGCCTTAGGGCAATTATTCTTGGGTATAGAGCCTTGATGACGTCCATTGAGTCGTCGACTTCGAGTGTGTCTCTATAGATCATGCATATGCAGTCTACCGCCGCTTCAAAGGATCTTTCCTCCGCAAGGGCCTTCATAATGATGTCCATGAGGGGAGACTCCACAATCTGAGCTGCGGGTATCTCACGCATCCATGAAGTAATACATTCTAAGAGAAGTGGGTTCGTTGCAGCAGAAGCTAGAGCAGAAGGAGAAATATAGTTAGTAGCGCACTCAACTAAGTAAACATCAATAAAAGGGGGGTAAACCTACGAGAAGATTGAGAGTACTGTGTCAAAAGACCCAGGACCTGGCTTGCGTTCTCTTCCAAGAGCTCCCTTGTTCTTGAAGACAGCTCCTCTTCCTAAGGGTTACGCACGACTGATTAGATGACAAGAACGATTTTCTCTGGCCGCAAAAAAGGGGGGTTGATAAGACGGGTATATATGTTGGTGTTGGACTTGCGCAAAAGCGGTGGTAGATGGGAGGACAAAGGTGGATAGATGTGGTGTGTGAGCTCTACCGGAACATACAGTCAGGTTGATTTTGCGCCCTTCTATGACCTCTTCGGGAAGGATCTTGAGGAATTCGAGGACACAGTCTCCAGCTTCGTTGCCGAGAGCAGCTCCTACGGTAGGCAGGACGTCTTTCCAGGAGGTCATCTGGATAGCAAGGGTGGCCAGGGATACACATAGTTGTGTCCGTATGGGACGAGGTCCAGATCTGTAGTTTGACAGCAGAGACAGTATCGACGTCCTTAGCTCGGGCTGAGCCGACTCGGGGAGCTGGTCGAGATCATATGTAATCTATCAGAGGCAGACATAACCCGTCAGCTACTATGTTGATGGTATATTCCGTGGGGAAAGGAGGTATATATATATATTTATATCTGTAGATGGATAATCCTGGGGATAAGCGCGGGTCCTCACTTTTCCCTTGAGCGTCGTAGCAGCAAAGAGCTTTGCCTCGACCTGCGCATCGGCAGTCTGGAGAATCGCATGCGTCGTCGTCCATGCCTCTGTCTGTGTGATGCAAAGAGCAACAGCGGCGTCTCGTTAGCGAAAGGGCGGTTCCCATGGAGGGGTAAACATCTATCTATCTATGCAGAATACGGGGGGAGGGACACGGAGATGGCTCAACTGATTTCTGGAACTTCTCGAGAAACTCATGGGCGTGAGTTTTCTCCTGGCGAGAGACGCTGCTCTGCATCGTCTGGAGGGCTGCGAGCACCGGCGCAAAGGCCTGCTGCTGCGCTGAAGCACTGCTCGCTGTCGCCATGGCGCGGGTTCACTTCTATGCGGCGGGCGGCGGCGGCGGCGGAGGATCGGTGCGGGCGGCAAGAGATCTGGCGACGTAGCAGGGTTGGGAGTATCAGCGCTGGGCCTGCCGTCGTCATGAAGCAGAGGACGCTGCGATAGAAAGAAGAGAGGCGGGAGTGAGAGATCGTTGCTCCTCGTGGTGGTTGTTTGTTGTTGCTGCTGCTGCTGGCGTAGTTTTTGGCTGTTCTGGATATCGTAATGTTTTTTTTTTTTTTTTTTTTTTTCTTCTTCTCACTTTTGGTGATGGAGGGAAAACCCACTTGCTGGTTCTTTTCTTCTCTCTCTCTCTCTCTCACTTTGCTCACCAGCGAAGTTTTCGACACTTTTTGACGGCCGACAGCAGCTTCACCACGACAGTGAGAGGATAAAGAGAAGGTAGAAGCGAAAGGAGAAGAAGACAAAGACGAGACCATGACTGGCCGAGGACAGCGAGGCGGCGCAAAGACGCTGCTGGCTCCGATCCATTTCATCTTCAAGCTCCTGCAGCAGCGGACGACGGTCTCGATATGGCTGTACGAGCAATTGGCAGTGCGCATAGAAGGGAAGATACGGGTACGCAGGCGTCTCTACATATGGAGCTGGAGCTGGAGCTGGAGCTGGAGCTGGAGCTGACGGTTTACTAGGGATTCGACGAGTTCATGAACCTCGTGGTGGACGACGCGGTCGAGGTCAAGCTGGCTACGAAGACGGAGGAAGAGTCCAGGAGACAGCTTGGTAGGGAGACCCCCTTTTCAAGTTGTATCCTGCTGCTGCTACATGGCATATGCTAATGATACGGACAGGCCAAATCCTCCTCAAAGGCGACAATGTCTCGCTGATCCAGACGGTGCAGTCATAAGACCGACGAGCTGGCTGTGATGGGTTTACAAGTAACGGTTCAAAGGCGACTGGCGTTTTACGGTACAATATTTTTTGCTAGGACGGGTTCAGTTTCAAGAGATGAGAGGAAGAAAAGAAGAAGAAGACGATGAATTGAGAGTGTTCAGCTTCTCACGACTCGTCCGTCACCTACGACCAGGCTATCGACGAGGTTGTCGTACTCTCCCACAGGCACCTCTTCTGGAGGCTGAAGGACCTGCTCGGCCAGACAGAAAGCGGCTGTTGAGATAATGTTGATGGGTTAGTGTGTCTAACGGAATTAGTTGTGCTGTTGATACTGCTGTTTGAAGTCTCACCGAGATATGGCATCTGCCCTTTGCCCACGTTACTGCGATATCTGTTGATAAACCGGTCATAATACCCCTTTCCGTGTCCCAGTCTGCGTCTGCCATGGTCAAAGGCCATGCCCGGCACGACAATGAAATCCAGGCCGCAGTCGTCACCGCCTTTCAAGGCGCCGTCTTCACCCCGTAGCCCGTTCCCTCCCAGACAGTTCTCCCTGCCGGCCACCGAGCTGGCGTCAAGCGTAGGAATCCCCCACCCGTCTGGCTGTAGAGACTCGTAATCCTCGAGCGAGCGCAGGGCCAGCATCTCCATGATCGACGACGGCTTCGTTTCAGCACTGCCTCCGAGCTTGTAGATGTATGGCACAAAGACCTGCTTCCCGCGTCTAAAGGCGTCCCTCACGATCTCCCCGGTCCTCAGCTCGCCGGCCGGCATCGACAAGTACACGCTGACGCGCCGTGCCGACTGGTATTCGGGGAGTGCGAGCAGGCGTTCAGTGGCAAGCGAGGCTACGATAGACAAACATCAGCAGCCGTGAGGATAGATGTTAATATAATAAACAGATGCTGGAGAGATGGGATGCAGGAGGGCGCGAACATTGACACGTAACTGAGTCTGCAGAGACGCCGGCGAGGATCTTCTTGATCCTGCTCCGCATCTCCTTCTTCGCCGTGCTTATCGAGGCCATCGCCGCGTTTCTTCTTCCGTCCTGTCGGCCTCGCTCTCCTCCTGCTGGTTTGTTGACGTTTGTCTGGAGTCCTGCCAGTGAGTGGCGAGTCTTGGGGGGCGACCAGGGCAGCGCAGGACCGAAACATCGACCGGGGGGGGGGAAGCGTAATATTATTATAATTATATATCGCCAGCCGAATAAAACAGAGACGAGGAGAGCAGACGAGATCTCCTGCCGAGTCCTCGCTGCCTTTGCCTGTCGCTGTTCGCTGTCTGCTCGGGCTGTCCTCGACGTCGACGCGGGACGAGGAGAGGACGACGTAATATCGGGTGGCTCGTCCCTTTTTTTCCTCTACCAAATAGTTATTATTTTCCACGTCGACTCCAAACTTCGCCCTTCAATCATCCAACTCCCGTCTCTCTCGCTCTCTCTTTGCTCCTGCTGCTGCTGCTCGCTATCGAACTGACCTGCTGTGCTGCCGACGATGAACTTGCTGCTGCTGCTGCTGCCGCTCGGTCTGCTGCCGGCTGTCTCTGCAGAGTTCGACCCGCGGCTCGTAGGCACCTGGACGACCAAGTCGCGGAAGGTCGTAACAGGCCCGGTGCGTACACTCCCCGGACGGCAGATGGCGACGCTGAAGGATGCAACAGGCTGGCTGACGACCTTCTCCTGCAGGGCTTCTACGATCCGATCAAGGACAGGCTGATCGAGCCGTCGCACACGGGCATCTCCTACTCCTTCACCCGAGGATGGCTACTTGAGGAAGCTCAGTACCGCGCCATTGCGAACCGTGAGTCCACCCTCACAACTATACAGGTAACATGGGATTTCAAGGGCAGACGGACTAAGAAGAGACGTTTTCTTTACAGCACAAAACCCAGCCTGTCCGAGCGGGATGATGCTGTTCCAGCATGGGACTTACGAGATCAAGCCTAACGGGACCCTCCTGTTGAACGCATATGCCTTTGAAGACGACGGGCGTCAGTTGATATCAGACCCTTGCAAGGGCGAGCGAGCAAGCTACTACAGATACAACCAGAACGAGACCTTCAAGGTAGGCTGGCCGTATTTTTTGATCTTACCTCCCCCCTGCTGCGGCTCTAACCAATGTTCTACAGAGATACGAGGTCTTACTCGATAAATTCCACAACATACAGCGGCTCAACTTGTATGGACACGACGGCACACCCATGAACCGCATGTTTCTCATCTACAAACCTCCCCAGATGCTGCCAACCAAGCACCTCAACCCTGTCGTCAAGGTTCAGCGACGAAAACGTGACCTTGGAGAAGGCGAGTTCGACAGGTCTCCCATCAAGAATTCCGTCCTCTCCCACCTACCCGTAACCGCCAATGCCGACCGCTGGTGGTGGGTTGGCGTCCTCATGACCTCCATCGGCGGGATTGCTCTCATCTACTCCTAGCCTTCTAAAGCCTTTTTCTCCGCTGCATTTTTCCTTCCCCATCTTCGACGAAAAGGAGAGCCGGAAGAAGCATACAGAAAAGTTATATGATATAATGCACCATTTTGGATATAGATGGCGTTATGAACGGTCTGGCACACCCCCGGGGATGGGGCTCGTTTTCATTCTCTTTTTTTTTTTTTTTTTTTTTATTTTTTTCCCTTCTCACTTCTGGTCTTTGCCTCGGGAGGCTCATTGTCGATACGTGGGGAGGGTATTCATATTCTTTTATACCTGCGTGTGCCGGAGTAGTCGGTTGCTACATACAGCTGTACTTGTATCCCCTTCTTTTTATCCCCTTGTCTATTCTACTTCCTCCCGTCTGCATGGCGTGTTTTCCCCCTGTTCTTTTCTTTTCTTTCCTTTCCTGTTATGTTCTGCCATTTCATTTCTTTCCCTGGCTCGGTCTGTTCTCATATGGTCGACGGGTAACTGCAATGTTTAATTATCGTCAGCATCAAATAATGATAATCCCTTTTACGGTCATCTTATGCACTACCAAACAGTTGCAGATCTAAAGAATGGAGGATGATAGTGTTACATTTGGATTGTGCCTCTAATTTACATTACCACCCCCTATACTTCATACAGATTCGAGAATGCATACCACCAGGATATACATGCTAATCGACATGCCACAACGCCTCTCGCATAAATCCTAACAGGATACAAGGGATCACTTCTGTTCCAGTGCCTTAACCATCTCGCCAGCAATCTTCGCGACTGCCGTCTTGCTCGCTGGCTTCCCGTCCAAAGCTCCGCCTGCAGCAAGGACCTTCTTCATCACGCTTCCAATAGCCAGCTTCTCACTGGCAGCCTTGAGTTCGGCAATCGCACTCTCGACAGCAGCACGTATCGCATCTTCGCTCACAGTCTCAACCTGAGCAGCGTACTCCTCAACAACCTTCCTTTCTTCCTCTGCCTTGGCCAGCAAGTCTTGACGGTCAGCAGCGGCGTACTCCTTGCCACTAGCTTCTAGGTTCGACGCCCGCTTTCGAAGAAGGTCGAGAAGGCTGAGATCAGTCTCAATGGGTTTCGGTGTTTTAGCTGCATTGTTCACTTCTGATATGATTCCGCGCAGGACGTCAAGTCTGTTCTAGCAGAGTTAGCATTGAGTTGTTGTATAATAAGCGCAGCCCGCGAAAGAAGAGCAGAGAATCCGCACCTGACTTTGTCTTTTGCCCTCATTGCTGCCTTCAAGTCTGTCTTTATCTTTGCAAACAATGGAGCAACACCCGGCGTTGAAGCTGTAGAGTAGCGAAGAGAGTGCCGCAGCAAGGGCGACTGGAAGCGAAATGACCGAATCATGCTGACTATATCTTTTCCCCCCCTCTCTCTCTAGATATCTGCAATAATAGCGGCAGTTATCTGTCTTCTTCTTCTTCTCTTCGTCTGGTCGTAATTAATTGTCTATCTTCTTCTTTCGACAAACTTGAATATTTATATGCAGATGGCCCGTGCACCCAAAGCTTCATCTTTTTGTGTTGCTTAAAAAAGTCGCAGACGAAGAAAAGAAATCAACAACTTCGACTTCATCGTTCCTGTTGCCATTCCACCTCACCACTGCCAGATAACAGTCTCTTGTCTAGGGAGAGCTGTCGACAGTCCCTCGCTGTGGCCACCTGAATACCTTTCCCTACTGGCAACAGCTCGCCCTCTGTGTCTGGGTGCTGCGCGACTATGAGCTTCCCATTCACACCAACACCGAAGCCGCCAGGCACATACTTCCAGACTCCGGCGCCCTCGCGTTCCCATGGACCGCTGTTCGCCTCTAGGCCTCTCTCTCCACCCTCGGGGAATGTTGCGGGCTCGAATCTAGGTGCCTCTACCGCCGCTCGGCCCAAGATGCCAGCCCCAGAGATCAAGGCGAAGCCCGAATCCATAAGCCCACGCGAGCGAGCAGCGCGGACAATAGACGAGGCGCTCCTGCAGGAGTCGCGGTATCCTGATCTAGACAGCTATCTTTCTCGTACGTTTGCATTTGCCCCGAAGCCTGAAGTCGAACGCGTTGCGCTGGATTTGAGACGTCCATGAATAACTAACGTTTTTGATTCATCAATTAGAGGGCTATTCTTCGGACTATGACATCCCCAGCTCACCAGCATGGGCGCCGTTTCATAAAGTGAAGATGTATCGGATTCCAGACCAGATATTTGATCAGTATAATCGTGCGCAGGTTTCAACTAGCATGGGCTTGTTTGCTGAGCTAAATCACGCCTGGGTTACCATCGATAATGCTCTTTACCTCTGGGATTATACGCATCCAAATCCTCAATTGATAGGGTTTGAGGAGCAGCCAAACAGCATCAACATGGTCAAGCTTGCGCGGCCTAGGAAGGGCGTCTTTCTTCCGGCAGTCACTCATATGCTCGTGATATCTACCACGGCAGATGTTTTTCTCATGGGACTTGCGTGTGAAAACACCGGCGGATACAAGTCAGTGACTATATACCAGACTGGCATGTCGGTGCCTATTAGAGGTCTAGATATCAATGTCATTGCCTCGTCCGACTCGACTGGACGGATCTTCTTTGCTGGATCTTCAGACAATGATGTGTATGAATTGACATATCAGCAAGAGGAGAGATGGTTCCGGGGCCGCTGCAGTAAAGTTAACCATACAACCAAGAGTTTTACCGCATTTGCGCCCCAGTTCAATCTGCGTAACAAGCCAACAGAGTTTGTGGAGCAGATGGTAGTTGATGACAGCAGGAACCTCTTATACACCCTGTCTTCAAACTCATCGATCAGAGTCTTTCACTTGAGGCCCGATGGATCCGTCAACCTTACAATCACCAAAACTGCCATCGACATATATTCTAACATCGGCCATATCATCACCTCAAATGAAACACTCAACCCTAGGGTCAAGATCGTCTCTATCAGCCCCATTCCAGCCCCAGAAGCATCTAGGTACCACCTCATGGCCACAACTGCCACCGGCTACCGAATCTATCTCAGTGCTACCGGCTCATATAGCTGGTCTGCCACCCCAAATGCAAATAATGCTCCTACCAGCATGCAAGCACAGCACGTTAAAACCCCACCATCTGACTCTCCTTCAGACCAGGCCCCTCAAGCCGCCCCAGTCCCGGGAGCCCCATTCCATACCACTGGCCCTTCTAAAGTCTCAATACACTCCTTAAACCCCACCAGCTCTGCCGAACGATTTCCACCTGGGTACTTTTTCTGTTTCACGCAAAAAGACAATTCCAAGCAAGCGGACACATTGTTCATTTCTACCCCAGACTCTGGAAAACTTGCGATACCCCGGGATCCCTCCACACCCATCAAGCCAGAGGAGACTGGCATTTGGCTCACTCTTGGTAGTAGAGCAGAAGCAATCGGCCTCTACACCCCATACGATCAAGGTGGCCCAACGAGCAGCGGCTTTGGAAATGAGTTGGCAGTCCAATTTGATAAGCCAGCTGCCGAGATTGCTGTTTTGACCAACACTGGAGTTCATATTATCCGTCGAAGACGGCTTGTCGACATGTTTGCGTCTCTTATTCGTAACTCAGATGGAGAGGACGGGTTAGAGGATCGCGTACAGACATTTATACGGATATATGGTCGAAGCGAAACCATAGCAACTGCGTTAGCAGTGGCATGTGGCCAAGGGATGGAGGTTTCGCCAGATTCGCGCCTTTCAAAAATAAATGATCCCGATGTTCTCGAGTTTGCCCGAAAAGTCTTCATTGAGAAGGGTGGAAAGCCAACTATTAATGAAAATGCTGTTACTGATGGATCTGTTCCAGCCATAGATACGGTTTTGCCTTCTCCTCGACACGCGGGTATTGCGTTGTATACCTCAAGGCTCCTGCGATCCATCTGGAAGACAGTAATAGCCCAGCAGGGCCGAACACCTGCTGGTGGTCTTTCCATTTCCCCTGCTGTACCTACATCTACCTTGCTTACCATCCAGCGCGATCTCTCTGCTCTCAAGGACTTTTTCAACACAAACCGAACATTCATCGAAGGGTTGAGTGGACCTGACGCTCTATCGAAGGTAGCAACAAAACAGGAGGAGGTTGCTTTGCAGGCTGAACACAGAGGTCTTCACTCCCTTGTACAGTTGATCTCCCATACAATTGAAGGAATCTCGTTTATTCTTGTTCTTTTTGACGACAGAGCTGAGGATGTTATTGCCCTGCTGAATGAAGATGCCAGAAACCGTTTCTTGGAGTTGACCTTTGAGCAGCTTTTTGCTACTTCCAAGGGACATGAGACTGCAAAGGAACTTGTCAAGGCCATCGTGAACCGCAACATTGCCAAGGGATCTAATGTTGAAACCGTTGCCGAAGCTTTACGACGAAGATGTGGTACTTTCTGCAGCCCCCAGGATGTTATCGTATTCAAAGGACAGGAACTTCTTAAGAGAGCCACCGAAGCCGGACCAAACTCTGAGGTTGGCAGAAACCTGCTAAATGAGAGTTTGATGCTTTTCCAACAAGTGTCAGAGAGCCTCCCTATGGACTACCTGAAACCCAGCGTTGAGCAGTATATCCAAAATCAGTTCTTTGCAGGTATGTTGTCCTTGCTTGTTCTCGAGGTTTTAGTATGCTAACGACTACATAGGCGCCATACAACTTGCTCTCAGCGTAGCTGCTGATTCTGACAAAGCAAATCATGCTCTTTCTTGGATCATGGACGGAAGACCTGCTGAGGTAAGAATAGACCTTATAGCAAAGAAGGAAATGTCCATGCATTAACGTGTTATTAACTAGGATCCACGAAAGGAAGCGTATGACTCCCGACAACAATGCTATGACCTCATTTACAAGGTCATCCTTGCCGTGGATGAGCTTTCTGAGCAGGACAGCTGTGATGGTCCCTACAGTCTGATCGCACGAAGAAGAGCTGAAGCATATGATGTTATTACCACCTCGCGGGACGAGGTTTTCCTCACTAGCCTTTATGATTGGTATCTCGCACGCGGTTTGAGTGACAGACTTCTCGAGATCAGGTCTCCATTTGTTGCTACTTATCTCGAGAGAAAGTCAACAGAAGATATATTTCACGCTGATTTGCTCTGGAAGTATTATGCACAGTCGGACAGATTTTATGATGCAGCTGTCGTGCAACTGCAGCTTGCAAAGAGCCCCTTCAAACTTACTTTGAACCGGAGAATCGAATACCTGGGTCAAGCGAGAGCAAATGCATCCGTGCACTCACCCGATGTTGGACGAGCAGCACGACAGCGCCTCCAGCACGAAGTCGAGGAGCTCCTAGACGTTAGCCATGTTCAGGACGATCTATTGCAGCGCCTTAAGGATGACCCTAGACTAGACAATGATCGAAGAGCTGAAGTACTGGAAACCATGAATGGAGGCATCATGGAGATCAGCAAAGTAAGCCCTTGCCTCAACTGTTTCTCCCAATAATTAGAAACTAACAATATTTGCCATTTAGATGTACAATGAGTATGCGGCCCCTGGCAACTACCATGACATATGTCTCCAGATCATGTACCTTGCAAACCACCGCAATGCCTCCGACATCACCACTACATGGCAAGATCTGATTCAAGGAGTCCATGAGGAGACCTTGAAGAACGGGACACCTCTACCATACGAAGCTGTCATTGAAAAGGTCCGCAGCCTGGCACTTAGACTCCGAATGTCTGATGTTGCTTTCCCAGTTAAGACTCTCCTTCCAATGCTAGAGCGCTATAGGCTTGAGCATCAGAAGAATGACGGACCTCCAACTTGGGTTGTCGACCTTTTCCTTGAACTGCAAGTTGAACCTGAGGTTCTATATACCGTCCTTGAGTCCTTGTTTTACAATGATGAGGTACCCTTTCACGGAGCCAACAGAAAGTTCATTGGTAATGACCTTGCATACCTGATCTCCAGATGGTTCAATGAAACATCCCGACTCGGAGGTGCTGCTTTTGGAAGCGATGTGATTGCCACTAGGGTATCAGAAATGCTTCTCTTACTACAGCAATCTCGATTGGATAAAGATGTGGTGCAAGCATGTCGAGATATGAGAGTCAAGCTTGAGCAATCCTTCCGATAAATTATGTGTTCCTCAGCCACCATACCAGCGCCGTTGCATATGTCTTGTCCTACGTCTTTGTTTATTCTCATGTACTCCCAAATCCTCTCGCCTGTTAGAGGCTTATGTCGATTGTCTCAATGTCTTTTCTTTTCCTTAGTTAATATTCAGGATGGGTTACGTTGGGAGGGGCGTCTTAAATGATTGGATTCTAGATCAGTTAAGACCTTTTTTATATTCCAGATGCATATAAGTCAGCATTAGTGGCAGGTCTGCATGATATGTATCATACAGCTGTCTGTTATATTTGGCCCTTGAATTCAGCGGTGAAAAATTTGGTCATGTGACCCAGAGTTGCTTTTGAAGGATCAATTTTGAGTCGACACCATCTTTCAACATCTCTACACAAGCTCCTATATTTGACCAATATCTTTGACTGAGTGGATACAATGGCTGCTAGCAAAAGCCGTTCGAGCGGCCAGGTGCCAAGGGGCTCGTCCTGGAGACGTACTGCTGATTATGTCTACGCTTTCTTCTTCATACTTCATATTGTGATTATGTTTAGTACGTCGTGCTTCATACCCAGGTTAATGGAGAATTTTATACTCCATTGCGAAGTAATGAAGAATTTGGATTGGCCAAATACTGACCGAAATCATTCATAGTGGTTGATTTGGTTCCGCTATACCCTGAAGCCTTGAAGCCAGCCTTCCTCGACGATATCCGCAGCTTTTATATCAACACCTACCAGGACAAATTCTTCATTGACCCTCCAGCTTGGTTTGGAAGCTACATTGTTATGGAGCTTGTTTACCATGTCCCAGCGAGTATAATCAATGCCTCCAAGCTTTTGAACGGTAAATATTCCATTTTCATCTTCAGACAGTAGAAAAGAGAGTTAAGCTGACACCTAATTACAGACGACTCATCTGCACCACTCCATGTACTTGCGTGGGCCATACAGACTTTTGTCACTACCTTCACTTGTGTGGTGGAGGTATGGAGCTGGGCTGATCGTACAACCGACCAGAAGATGAATATCAGCTTGCTCTATGTTCCATACATGGTATTCGGTGAGCTTATACCACTCTGTTCCTATATTATTCTCCTAAAGCTAATAAAATCACACAGCCGGACTCGTTGGACTAGACATGTTTGTCCGTTTAGGGAGCGTTTTGAAGAAACTCAAGCGGGATTGAAGAGCCTTTTTTTTAACGCTTGATATACAGCATAGTTAGACCATTTCCACATCAAATTCTTGACGAGCTAACTAGTTACCTTGGTGGCATGCAATAGACCTCACGGAGAAAGACACAAATAGAATATCATCATTTGGATTCCAGGGATCGTACCATAATTCCTCACAACATTCCGTCCGTCTCGTACTCTCTTCCCTGCTACTTGTCGGAGCTTCATCGCATCTAAATATGGTTCCGGTAAAAGGCTTGGCATCGGCCGCTCTGCGTCACAGACTCAAACGAGCTTATCAGATCGCCGATCGTCGTTGGATCCCAGTAAAAAAAATGTATTTATAGCGACGCACAACCACATCGCCGACTGTTCATATATTCAGCCCCGGTCAGATGCATCTGTCTGCCCTGTGCCATTGCTCATGCTTGAGTGAGATGTCATGATGAATCCAAAGGCAGCGCTCCGGCTGCGGCTGCTCCCACACCAGGTAACTATGGAAATTTACCGCATCCTTGCTCACCTTTGCAGCTCGAGCTGAAATCGTGCTGACTCTTTCTCCAGCCTAATACCTCTCGATGCCACGGCTATGGCAGCCTACCTCCTTCAAAGCGACGATGCTTCTCCCACTTCACGCCGGCTCCGTCCCCGTCGCTCGTCCACCGGACCCATGCCCATACTCAATACCCTATCGAGATCCCGGACCAGCTAGGCCAAAGTGCCAGGGAGAAGGAGGAAGATAAAGTCGGTGATGTGATCTCCTCGAGACAGCAGAGCCATTCTAACTTCCCGGCTGCAGGAATTCTTCCTCGATCTCCTAAGCTCGGCAACTACAAAGCGTGAAGCCAAGTCATATCTGTCCCGGTTTACACCCCAACCACCACCCAGCAATGGACAGCAGAAAGATAGGGTCTCGACCAACCCACAAGCAGCAGACACTGGGAGAAAATACATAGAAGTGCCTATAACAGGCTCCACCGAAGGAAAACCATCAACCACATATGATATATCCAAGCCCAAGGACACAATCACTGAAAGCTTGCATGTTGCTCTTGTGAAAATCAAAAACCCGGAGTCACTAGACGATCAATGTCTCCTCGGTATTTCCAAGACTCTGTCACAACTAAGCAGGCTTGCTATGTGCTGCTGCATTGTATTAGAAGTCAATAACACTGGAAATGACATTGACTGCCGGAAGCTTGCGTCCACCCAAGCCAGTCGCATTGCAGCCAGAATTGACAAAGTTCACAGCCTAGGCGCACGGCGACTAGATTCCGCAGTGTCTCTGGATGCGTCTACACATGATGTATCCATTCTGTCAAGGAATTTCCTTCTTTCGCCCCTTTCTCGTGGCCAGATAGTTGTGATTGACCCCGTCGGGTACACAAACGATACGTCGAAAGCTCGCCCAGTTGCAGCAGATGAGATCATATTGGCATTAACAAAGGAGCTAGCTGGTTTATCTAGCAAGTCTGGCCTAAGTGAGGCTTCTGCTGAAACGCTCCAAAAAGTTCCGCAGTGGCAACATGATATATCAGTTGAGAGATTGATCATTCTAGACCCACTAGGCGGTATTCCGTCCCTAGGCCGTGGACTGCATAAATCTCATGTGTTCATTAATCTTGAACAGGAATATGAAGATATTCAAAACGAGATAGCCCAAGCAATCCCTAACCCGCAAAAATCAGCTCACAGTGGACTTCAGGCCGAGTTGAAAGGCCATTTGGCTAACCTAACCTTACTACAGAAAGCACTTGCTCTCCTCCCTACCTCTTCCTCGGGCCTTATTACCACTCCTCAAGATGCAACGACCTTACCTCTAAATCATAATGGTATCCATGGAACCCCAGCCGTGGGTACTCGCCAGCGGCGGAATCCCTTGATACATAACCTCCTCACAGACAAACCTGTTCTTTCGGCATCACTGCCTGCCAGGCGCCGTGGTGGGGAAAAGGGTGATAATGTCCCTAACAGTCAACCGTCCCATCCTACTTTTGTGAAGCATGGTATGCCACTTACCATGATACCTGACCCACGGGTTAAATGCTGGACCGCAGCGCACAACGACAGCTCCCGCATAAATCTGGATGATCCTGCAATAGACCTGCCACGACTAGTCCATCTCATTGATGACTCGTTTAATAGAAAGCTGGACGTTGAACATTATTTGGATCGTGTGAAGGATCGGCTAGCAGGCTTGATTATTGCCGGGGAATATGAAGGCGGAGCAATTTTAACTTGGGAGCTCCCTCCGGGTATCCCTGATGACGGTAGTCCTGAAAGCATGTCCCGAATGGTTCCTTATCTAGACAAGTTTGCCGTCTTAAAAAGAAGTCAAGGGGCAGGGGGTGTTGCTGACATCGTTTTTAACGCCATGGTGCGAACCTGCTTTCCAGAAGGTGTATGCTGGCGAAGCCGAAAAAACAATCCTGTCAACAAATGGTATTTCGAGAGGTCGAGAGGGACTTGGAAACTCCCAGACTCGAATTGGGCAATGTTCTGGACTACTGACAATGTCCCAGAGAATGAGCAGCTTTTTGAAGATTATGAGAGTGTCTGTCGCTCAATTCAACCGAGCTGGGCAGATAATAAAAAAGAAGTGGATTAATGTTCGGTATGATCTATATACGAAATCTTGGTCTCGGTCTATGTTCCAAAAGCTTCAATATATATTTTTCTCATGACGTGAAAATGAAACTGGTTCTCAGTGGAAGAACATATATAATGCCAGGTATAAGTTCAGAAACACTTTGAGCTTACTCTGGACAAGCATCTAGCTGAATGATTTGGGTATGGCTAGTAATCTCGAAGCAACTAACTACCTTGGCATCTTGGGAGATACCCCCGAGAAGGACTACGGATGCGTGCAACTAACGTATTCGCTAACTAATACTGGCCCTGAGCATACGGGTTCATATTACCGCAACCACTGTGGGGCGAGGATATTTCGCGCCGGTATTCATGGTATAAATACCCTTCCTTGACCCATCTTCCTGCATTTCGGGTTATGTTGATATATACTTCATTGCCATCAACCATTACACCCTTTCTACACAGAGTCATGGCCCTCCAACGCTTCAAGCTTATGCTAGTTTACATTCGACATTTGATACCAATTGCCTGGACCCTGCTCTCTGAGAAAGCAAAGGGACTCTTCCATAAACTGACATACCGGACAACTGAGTCCTGCAAGAATGTAGTTATAATCGGAGGCTCATTTAGTGGACTTTATTTAGCCCAGAAGCTGATTCAATCTCTCCCTACCGGCCATAGGGTAGTCTTGATTGATAAGAACTCCCACTTCAACTACACATTCAATTTTCCTCGCTACTCAGTCTTGCAGGGCCATGAGCACCTGGCTTTTATTCCATACGACGGCATTGCTAAAGATGCTCCGGCCGGTATATATCAACACGTCCGTGGGCTTGTTACCTCCGTTACCAGGGATACAGTCGCTTTGGAGACTGGAGAGACAATCCCATATACCTATCTTGCCTTTGCAACAGGCGCAACTCAGAAACCTCCTGCAGGATTGTTAGCCACCGAAGCCCAGGCAGGATGTACTGAATTGCAGGATAGGCAGAAATCCATCATGAAAGCGAAGAATATTGCTGTTATTGGGGGTGGGGCAGTGGGGGTTGAACTGGCAACCGACATCAAAAGCTACTATCCAGAAAAGAGTGTGACATTGATTCATTCGCGCGAACGCCTCCTCCCGCGATTCGGCGGTCAATTACATGAGAAAGTGATGGATGCACTTCAAAAACTAAACATAGAGGTGCGGCTGGGAGAACGGCCCAAGTTACCTCTAAGGAACGAAAATGGAGAGTCAGAGCAAGAAAGGGACCAATCGTTGCTTTTCTCAGACGGCAAGGTTGTTGCATACGACTTAATTGTAAGAATCACGGAACAGAGCTATCCGAACCGCCTTTTCAGTACCTGTCCTAATGAACAAGTCACATAGGTCCCCTGTACGGGTCATCGCCCCAATTCCGACCTTGTCACCAACCTTGAGCCGGATGCTATCTCCAAATCTACAGGCCGTATCCTTACCCAACCCACCCTTCAGATCGTCAGCAAAGATGGACAGAATCCTAGAGTTTTTGCTCTTGGTGACGTAGCCGAAACAGAAGGTACTTTGATGGCCCGGTCAGCATATTTCCAGGCACAGGTGGTTGGAGAGAACATTCTCAATATGATTCAAGGGAATGACCCAAAGACAAAATACGTACCGAATCTTGCCATTGAGGGGGCACTAAAATTAACTGTAGGCAAGGTAAGAAAGCTCTCGTAAAACGCGGTAATCAATGGCCATCTGGGCAGAAAGATGCTAAAATCTCTTCTCAATGATAGTCGGACTGGCTCATGTATGTGAAGCCTGCTGGTAGTGCGGCAATTATCGACTCCGGAAACAACGGCAATGAGGACTTGGATATACACATAGCTTGGAAACACTTTGGTGGAGATATGAAGAAAACTAACGACTTGGCTGAAAAGTTGAGCTTGAGTAACTCTTCCTCACGATCTTGAGAATACGTGTATATATAATTAGATTGATGCTTCAGCATGCCTCTGCCCCACAAATATTTATCTGATCTTTCTCTTCAGCCAATCGACACGATTAACACTCTAGCATGCCATGCCTATAGGCACAGAAGGGGCAAGTGCGATTCAAGAGAGCAATTTCCTTTTGGGTTTTCCGTGGTGGGTCAAGGAGTTAAACTTTGTCTTATCTGATTGATAATCTGATAAGACAATCTAATCAAGAACATCACCTGGAACCAAGGTTCTCAACCTGGGCTCCGTTTGTTAGACTGCATGTGATCAATGGATTTGTTGATTCATGTTAGCTTTTCTTATTGTTGTTGATCCGCTTTCTACCGTTCTCTGTTTTAGTTGCCTAGCTCCATATCCCATAGAGGAACCAAAATCATCCCACCCGTCTATGATGCATATATGGAAAATGGCTCCCTTCCTCATTCTACTCTCTGTAAGTGCGTCCGTATAATATTCGATCCACCATAAATACTAAGAAATGTGTTAAACGGAAAAAACGTCACTTCCTATTGTTCTTGTAGCTACTGTGCAACAGTGATTTAATAGTGAGAAGTTCACATGGGCGGCTCACTAAAGACACACTTTCTAAGCATGACCGAGAGCAGTGTACAGAGGTACAAAGTAATTATTTGAAGAGCTGCAAAGAATCACCCACGATTGTTCTACAGGATCTTAAATATAAGGAAAAATACGCTGACTAAGCTTTTTTTTTTTTTTTTTTTTTTTTGGACGGCAAAGCAGTTGGCACAGGATTGCTATTGCTTCTGCAATATTTCAACCTCTTCTTATTGTTTTAGGCCATTCTGACTACGGACGTTTATTTCGGGGACAGATCCACTAAAAAGAAGCACCTCCATAAATGTGTGCGTTCATTATCTGTCTTCGGCTCTGCCCATAACTTCTCCCTGCTTGCTACTGGTAACTACCTCCGAGCCTACAATTCAAATATAGATGTTCACTTGTTGAAAAGAATATAATATTAAACTAGTAAGCTAGCACTGGTTAACCCTCAAAGGACCCGATCCCACCTTCGATCATTGTCACGAATCTAGACAAATCAGCCGCCGCGGGGGCCGTTTCAAACATGCATAAATGTTGCATTGGTCACGCGCTTACAGGGGGAGCTTTTATCAGAAGTCTGGGAGATCGATGTTGATTGTTCTCTTGAGTACCACCAGGGCTCTGCGCCATCGTCTATTACCCTGGATAGACAATCACCATGGACAAGGCGCGAGGAACGCTTTTAGCCCAAAAGAGAAGAAACACTCGCGATCAGAACAGATGGTCTTAACTGACTCACTAGTTAGTTAGTTATGGGAGTGTTGCAAAATAAGGAATTTACAAGAACTAACTAGCTGGCTTCGTTACTGGTCAACCACTTGGGCAACCGTTAACTACATACCCTTGAAAGTGGCTTCTCCAATTCCCTTGGCCATCTCATAGCACGGCAATTCTTCGTGGGCATGGATCCATTCTCCATTGCGGCCGGAGCTGTGGGCGTTGCAGACGTTTGTTGGTGTGTTGTGAAATACCTAAGAATCTTCCTGCCGCTATTGCAGAGATCCAGAAAGAAATTGACAGTTTGATCGCCGAAGTTGAGTCTCTGCAGACAATTGTTCGATCTGTCGAAAGTTCCTTTGAAGGAAGTTTTTCCAAACCCTCAGATGAAACTCCACTGAGGGCAGCCAATCTTGAGAACCTATGGAGAGATTTCAAGAAGAGTTTGGAAGGATGCCAAAACGTTGCAAAGGAGCTCGAACGCCTTGTCTAGGAGATATACGGCAAAAGTGGCTCTAAGGTTACGAGCAAACTTGACGTGTTAGGGAAAGAGAATCGTAGAAGAGATAAGGCAGGTAGTTTGTGCCGGGTACGTGAGAAGCTCTCGACTGAAAAGGACAACCTCCAGATTCTCCTGATGGGAATTAGTTTGTGAGTACAACTATACAACCATTTGCCATATGTAAATAATGACTAGACGTGAAATTAACTTTACTATTAGGTACAATCACCATGTTCACAAGATACCCTGGTCCAAATGTCCAAAGACCTCCGTTCACTGGATCAAAACTTCAAGTCACAGATGATGTCCATGGAAAATAGAATTAAATTCTCTGATGAAAGCGGCGCCGGGCCAGACCTGGAAGGCGTTAGTACACTATCAAGAATCAAGCATTCCCGCAGTTCCATCCGATCTGTCGCTGCCGCTGTATCCATCACTACCCCTAATAAATTCTTTGATGTCCCCCAACCTGTGAGCAGTGTTTACACGGGCCGAACAGCTTTTCTCGAAAAACTGCGAAATATACTCTTTTCACCGGTAACCCTGGAGTCAACGCAAAAGCAGCTTCGCTTTGTTATTTATGGGATGGGTGGCTCGGGAAAAACACAATTTTGCTCAAAGTTTGCGGAGCAAAACAGGGACTGGTGAGCTCCCTTCCCCTTATAGTTAGGCACATATATTAATATACTCTTGTCTAGTCTGTGGGGAGTATTTTGGGTTGATGCCAGCTCCCAGGAACGAATAAAACAGACATATGCGGAAATAGGTAAACTTGGTGAAGTTGAACCAAACCATAAGGCTGCGATGCACTGGCTTTCCAATCGCGAGGAGAGGTGGCTCCTAATAATTGATAATGCCGATGATCCTCGCATTGATTTGCATGAGTTCTTCCCGAAAGGAGACCGAGGTTATATAATTATCACAACACGGAATCCGGCGCATAAGTTATACGGTAATCTGAAACCTGGATCTTTCGAATTTCAAGGTATGGAGGATTATGATGCACGTACGCTACTCCTACGAGCTGCTCGGTTATCAGAACCTTGGGATGCCGACTGCGCAACATGGGCCGCTAAAATTACTCGACAACTCGGATTCCTAGCGCTTGCACTAATCCATGCCGGTGCCGCGATACGCAATCGTTTATGTTCACTGAAAGACTACTTAACATTCTATGATAAGAATTGGGAGCGCATCCGCCGCACTCGCCAATTGTCTGTTGATTCTGACGGTGAACGTGAGGAATACATGAGTGCTCATGCTACATATGAGGTCTCTTTCAATGGCATTGCAAAGAAAGGAACTGAGTCTTCTGAAGATGCCATCCAACTACTCAAAATATTTTCCTTTTTCTATTTCAAAAATATCCGGTTTGACATATTAAAGAAGGCAGTTATAAACTGCGAACTTGAAAAGGCTGAGCAAGAACGAAAAGCTCAGCAGGAGGGAGAACGGCCTTTGACTTGGTATCAAAATACAAGTCTACGCTGCTTGCAATATTAAGTTGTTTAATGCAAGATAGGAGTTCCCCTGTATTGCCTTCTGCTATTCGAGAAGGCAGAGCTTTGCAGTTTTTTGACGAAGTACGAATACGTTATGCCTTGAGAGAACTCATACAGATGTCTCTAGTCACCCAAGATGAGTCTGCTGACAGCTACTCAATGCATCCTCTAGTCCATAGGTGGGTACAAGAACGGCCAGAGATGAGCACGTCAGAACAGGCTGTTTGGTCACAAGCTGCAGCTACAACTCTGGCTCACTCCATCCTTCTCCCGCCTCTGGGTGAATCTGAAGCAGACGAGATATTTCGAAGAGATATTCTCCCACATATTGATCACGTTCGAAGCTGTCTGGCGGCGATTAACGACAAGATAACTGAGAACAGAAAAGGCCGCTGGTATGGACTAGTCCAATGGCCAGGGGCGGGCTCAAGATTTGGTCGAGACAACGCTATCCTCTATGCAAAATTCAGCATTGTATTTGCACAAAATGGACGCTGGGATGACGCCGAATCACTTCAACTAGCTGTCAAACAATATGCGGACAATATTCTTGGTTTAGAGCATCCTATCACTAGGCGTATAACGCTGGCGTTAGCATTGACATACTGGAACCAAGGGCGGGGAGACGAGGCTGCTGATTTGCAAGACGCCGTTTTGCAAGCCTGCATGGCCTCATTAGGCCCCAACAGTCATGAGACATTGATGTCAATGGATCTGTTAGGCCAGGGAAGATGGCAGCAAGGAAGATATAGTGAAGCCAGAATGCTTCAGCAACATGCCGTTGAAGGTCTTATCAAAATTCGAGGTCCACGCCACGAGGATACTCTGAGCGTCATGGGAAACCTGGGTCGAACACTAATGAAATTCTATGAAAACCCGGATGAAGCAAAGAGGTTATTGAGTCAAGCTTATGATGGTTTGTCTGAACTTCTAGGGCCAACGCATCTCAAAAGCTTGGTTATGAAGGAAGAATTAGCATTGGTCATTTTGCAAATGGAAGAAGAGCCGTCCCTGGCTGCCACAATGATTGAGGAGGTTCTTGTAAGTCGCAAAGAGAAATTAGGAAAAGAGCACCCATACTCGCTTCTTGCTATGGTTAATTTAGCAAGGGCAAATATTGCGATGGGCCAGTTTAAAGAAGCAGAGTCACTCGTTCGGTGGGGACTGGAAGTTGCGGATAGGAATCTGAGCCATAAACATATCGGTACGCTAATGGGAAGGACAGTATTAGGGGTCATATTGACGCGTCAATCTCGATTTGATGAGGCAGAAGACACTTTGCTGGGAGTGATCGAAAATCTACGAAATTTCTCATCATTCCGAGGAGATTTCCATCCTGATCGCCTGGGCGCAATGATTGAACTTGCCAAGTGCTATAAGCTACAAGGCAGAGTCAATGATAGCATTAGACTCTGTGATGAGACTATTGAAGGGTTAAGCAAGATCAGTTTGAAGGAACATCCACTTGAGAAGATGATGAAGAGGTTGAAACTGGAGCTAATTGGAATGAAAAATAATGATAGGAAACGGGAAGCTATTAATAATTAATATAGATATAAATAACTCAATAAACATCATATATGCAAGTATAGCTACATACCGTCTATGGAGCGCAAAACTAAAAATATATTCAATTTAAAGTTTTAAACTTTCTTGGTAATGCACGGGCCACTCTCATTTTATCGCGGAGTTGAGAAAACGACGAGAAATCCAAAGAGCATCGCAACAAGAGGTTGAATATCTATGTCCATGTTACGCCTCTTGAAGATGAGGAGATGAAACGACAATGCCAATATGCATAGAGTGCTGTTACCCTGTTTCCCACCTTTACACCTCGTACAGCAAGGCCGATGATCGTGCTTTAGGCAAGGGAGTCCGTTTAACACAATGTGCACGATGTCAACGGTTTGCGGATAAATACGTCGAACATGACTTTGTTGTACTTTTCATCGATTTAGTTCTAATAAAGCCGCAGGTAATACGTCTCGTCTATCTCCTTTCTTCTTTTACTATCTTTTCCAGCTAAATCCTACGTCTATAGGTCTACAGACACCTGCTATTTAACAGACTTGGGCGGGATGATGATAAATTTGATGTAAGGACGATTGACCCCGCTGATAGACGGTATGTACAATGGTTTACTGATAGTTGGCACCTTATTGTAGCGTTCTATTATTCGTCTCGGGATCCTCATCCTCCTTTTTGACGTCTATCTCTCCTGGGCGCGCATCGAGAAGTCTTCCGCAATCGCCTCCTCACGGCTCGGAAACACTCCAATAATAGTACAATATGTCTTTTTCCTCACACTGAACGCCCTCGCGACCCTTGCACACCACGTCACAGTTCGATTCCTGGCCACGATTCTTGTCCTGAAACCTGCGACACAGTCTCAGAAGGCCCATGAAGCTCCACAGCGTGCGAATACTCTCCCATCCTCGCCGTCTGACGCTTACGCAACTGGAGGTGCCATACCAACGCAGTTTTCAGCAAATCCTAGCTCAACAGGTGGATCAAGCGCTGCTGACCTGGCCCGATCGTCGTCTGGTAGCGATACTGTTGGTGACGGGGCTCAGAGTGCTACACCGTTACCTTCTCTCTCGGTGGAAACCGACTTCCCTCCGCCTCTCAGACGATCGTCCACCGCACCCCCACAAATACGCCCAATCCCTCCCCCGGCGCTGGCTAGTCGAAATGCAATAAGCACAGCTCTCCTGGTTAGCAGCTGTACCAAGCTTTTCCCGATACTACTTGTCATATGGGGTACGGATGCGTCTGGGGAAGCTTCAGGTGCATTGGATACGTCATTCCTGCCCACTGGCAGCAGTGAAGGGGAAGCTGCCTTGAATTCCTCCATTTGGTCGTCGCAATCTCTCCAGTCAGTTGTCCAGAGTACGCTCTTGACCCTTGCCCAGCCATGGTCATCACTTCTTTTGTCTGTCACAAATACCCACCTGGTGCTATTAAATAATACCGAGGCTTTGCTTATTCTCTTGGATTGTGGCTATAGTTATGCCATTGCGATGACACTTGGAGGCCAGTTAGCTAGATGGGCTGTAGAAAGGTGTTTCTTAAGCCTGGTAGGGCTGTAATGTGTAATATATGGAGCTTATGAATGAAGATATGAAAATATATTCGAACCAGCGGCAAAGAGTGACGTCAAAATGGGTGAAAATCAGAATGTATCCCTAATATGTAAGCACCAAACACATTCTTGGGTATGGTTATCATGTTCAAACGCATATAAGAATACCCGTAGAAGAGAAATGATATTACCCAGTGATATATAATGCTACAGTTCCTCGTCGAAAGGAAAATCTGTGAAACTAAAACAAGAAAACCGCTGAAAGAAAATCCCAAGGAGCTATAATAATATCAACATCTCAAAATATCCGCATTTGTTTCTTGGATCAATGGGCGTGGTGTGGTCTTCGATCACTGCTCTTCGGTACGAATAACGGGTGTAGTTGCGCGAGGAATGTTACGGCTGTGATAATATGTATTAGCACGGGAATATGAATAGCATCAATGAGGCCGGAGACATAACTTACCCCACATAAGGTAGCAGAATGTAAATCCAAGAATCAACGAACTTCGCCATACCCTGCATGATCAACCAGTTAGCCATGTATCCCTGAACGCAGCATCTGCCTAGCGAGAAGATTGTGTCTATATTGCAGATCTATGTAGCCGTTGTAGTGCCGATATCTCCGTAGACAGTCTGATATAGAGGCATGAGGAAATAGGGGGATGGAACTAACGGTCTAGTTTCTCCCTTTGGGCTGAATACCCATGCTAGCGAATTTGCGAGGACGACGAAAACGAGTCCGATGATGACGCTCCAGCTAAATAACACAAAGTAAGTCAGCACGAATGTTCTTAGAAGGACTAAGGAAGGTCATGTCTTTTACCCATTAGCCATATTGCCTCTTCTATGCTTGTCAACCTCGATGTCCTCAGCTGGATATGTTCCGGGAAGTCAATGATAAGACAATGAAATGGTAGGCTGCTCGTGGCAACGGAGTAGAAGATAATCTCCGAAGACGCAACTGGAAAAACGAGCCCCCCTTGAGTGTATGCAGATGAGCTCCGTGTGAAATGAGCGTGCTGGCTGCGGTGTCCCTTGATGCTTTTGATGCTGCCCGTGAGCAGACGCTCCATGATGAAGTCGAGATTACATAAGCAAATATGCAGGCCACAGCTTATCTTGAGCCTCTGATTGGCCAAAGCAGAGCTCTTGTTTTTTGAGGTTCGATATCAGTTTCTGACTATCTATACACCCTTTGGAGTGACGACCCTATGCTCTATCTTATTTTTCTATGCTAACAGATTACTTTGTTCGGACTTTTTAGGAGCAAAAGAGGAAACATCTTAGCTGTGGGTTATTAGAAGTTATTGCATTGTCTATTTTCTGTCTAGGTGCAAACGCGTCTCTGACCGTCTAGCTGCAGGTCTCGATCGGCTCGAAGTATGTCATCATGATTCCCTCCAGCAATGGTTTCGCAACGGTCTTCAGCGCGGCGTGGGCCTGGCAGTCATTGTCATAGTATTTCATGTCATCCTCGGAGGCAAACTCGGATACGACGGCGAGGTTGAATCCCTGGCGGCGCTGGTCCTCGAAGGTTGATCCGGCCTTGACGGAGAGGATGTATGGAGCACCATCCTAGAACCATGCAGAATTGATTAGCCATGTCTTCCGCTAATAGTTGAATGATTGATGCACCGAATGGAATCAGCATGACAAATCGGGCTCTCCCTCAGGAGCTTGGGAAGATGCCCAGGATGTCTTACCTTGAGAGCGTCCTTCTGCATTGTGCGGTACAGACCAAGGACGGTCTTGCGGTCCTCCTCCTTGGGGATCTTGAAAAGGGTGACGCGGCAGATCGTCATGGTGACAGTGAGAGTGTGTATGTGTGTGCGTGCGTGTGTGTGGGCTGTTCTTCCTAGAGAATTCTGGCTATACCGAGTGGCCGACGAAGCTGGAACGCAGGAGTTGCAAGCAGAGACGCCCTCTTTGTCCCTCTTGTCTCTTCTCCTCCTGTGATCCCAGCTCTCTTTACGGGCTTTATCTTTCCCCCGCGATACTCCCTGCTTTGCTTACCTGACTTGCTGCTTCGGAAAACATCCGCGAAGCCGCTTATTAACGGCTTTTGGGGAAGCTTGCGTCACGTGGAAAGAGTCTTCCCCGAAAGCGGAAAATCGGCAAATCAACGACTTTTACAAATATTTGGACGCTACTCTTATAGATGGCGGCGGTCGTCGCCTGCGATTGTCTGTGGAAGCGATGCTATCAGCATATATGACGAACATACATTCGGGACATAGAGCCTGGAAGTCCAAAAAAAAAAAGCCCGTTATCGGTCATTATACCCAGCCAGTCATTTTCGGATTCAGCCGGTGGCTGGCCACGAACCTGCTTCCGACCCCAGACTCTTCTTGCCACTGTCTATGATGTCGAGAAAAAAAAAAAAAAAAATACGGCAAACTATGTCCACAGACTCGTTCTGGCAGCAATTCCTAGGAATGTGCTGGAGGAACGGACCGTTGCCATGTGAAACTGAGCCCTTTGCCTCCTCCGAGCAGTTGAGCTTATAGCCTGGGGAGTTATATTTTCACACTGGTGTAGAAAAAATACTCCAGCCATCAAAGAAAACGAGCAGGCTACGTCGTTGGATGGACAAACACGGCAGGCCGTGGCCGTCGTCCGCCCTGCCATTGGGATATCCGGACGTCCTGGCGGGCAGCCTTGTTCCTCTTAAGGGGGGTCCCTGGGCTATATGTTCCTGTCTACCCCATATATATATAGACTCTGCCAGGAGCCGCCACCTACTTAAAACACAAAAAGCTCCTCGCCCGGACGCTGCAATGGATGTGCAAAAAGGGCTCGCGACTCACTCAGGGAATTATACTTAGAACTCCATAAAATGTAAACGTAATACGAAGCGTAGTGCGCGATGATCAGGAGCTGCCGGAGCAACAAGTGGCCTCAACCGTCCCGTCCTCCAGGATCCATCGCTGCATGTCGATGTGCGTAGAATGCCACTTGAACAGCGCCAGCAGATCTCCGTCGTCTCTGCCTCTGCATTTCATCCACATAGCTAGCTGCAAAGAATAAACAACTGCCTGCGTTAGCGCTGCGTCCATTCCATCCCACGCTTCCTCGTCCTATCAGCGTTCCTCAACCCCGAAAGCCTCCCGGGCCTCGCTGCAAAGAAACGCCGGGCGAAGCTACCAAACTTCCCATGGCGATGACAGGCGATGACAGGCCTGGATGGCCACCTCGCCAGCGGCCGGTCCTGCTGTTATCAAACGGCTGGCTTCAATGGCTCGCCTAGCCAAAGCCAAAAGAGGGCCTGCCTCTGCCTGATTAACTAGCTTTTCGACACCGCCGGCGATGACGTTGGAGCATCAATGGAGCCTCTGGAAGGACCCTGGTCCTGGTGGCCGCAATATATGTAACTGAATTCTCCCTTCTTGCGACAGCCCAAAAAGTCGTACGCTTCCCCGTCGACTTTCCTCTCCTCCGTTCGAGCATCTCCCAGGCACCGCAAGATTGAAAGAAAGAAGGAAGGAAAGAAAGAAAAATAATACCCCTTGGGAGCAGCAAGCGAGCGTCTCCCCTTCTCACACGCCCTGTTGCGTGCGCCCCAGAGCCGTTGAATAATTTGGATAATTTATATCTCAGCTATATACATATATATATATACAGATATACAGATATACAGATATACAGATATATATATATATATATGCTACATATACACGGCCGCGCCCACTGCCCGCCCTCTCCTCTGCAACCCCTCCGACCAGCGCCCGGCTCTGGATGTTGTCATTTCAGGACCATGACTCGATGTTTACCATGCTCAATGACCTCGGCCCTGAGCTCTTCCGCAACCGGCCGCAGCCCCTGCGCACGCTCTACACGGCCGTCCTGGCGGTTGCGATCTACAACAGCCTGGAGCTCGTCCTGCTCATCTTCATGACCTTCAGCAAGTATGAGGGCCTCTACTTCTGGAGCCTGCTGCTGGCGACCGTCCCCGGAGTGCTAATGGACGCCGTCTTCTTGCTCATGTACTACTACATGCAGCTGCCGCCCGCGGTCGCCTTCGCCTTTGCCAGCATCGGCTGGTGTTTCATGATAACCGGACAGGCGCTGGTCCTGTATTCTCGTCTCCACATGGTGCTACATAACCGATTGGGGTTGCGACTCGTGCTGGCCTTGATTGTCCTCAGTGCCATCTTCTTCCATATTCCCGACATCGTCACCGGGTTCGGCTCTATCGTCCCCAATCCAGCTCGACCCCAGTTCGTCCGCGCCTTTCACATTATGGAGAAAATCCAATTGACCGGGTTCTCGGTGCAGCAGTTCATCCTCTCGGGGCTGTACCTGTATCTCGCTACCAACCTGCTCGCCTTTGTGTCCGCAAAGGCCCGTCGAAAGGAGCTGCACCGGCTGATCGCAATGAACGTCACAATCATCATCATGGACGTCGCCCTCGTCGTCTTCGTGTACTTGAACTGGTGGGTGGCGCACGAGTCGCTCAAGCCGTTTGTCTACAGCATCAAGCTGAAGCTCGAATTCGCCGTGCTGCGGACTCTGGTCTCCATGTCCAAGTCGGCATCTGCTAACTTGCCGGATTTCGTCGATCCCGATCGGCTCGAAGGGGATGTCAGGTACGCCCCATCGATCCCAATGTCTCGGGTGCGACGGCATCGACACCCGCATCGGACGGACTCAATGCTTTCAGACGAGGTCGGATGGGACCAGACCAGTACAGCGCACACGACCAGCTCGAGTCTGGAGCGCTTCAGTGCCGCCGAACACGCCGAGGACGAGACTCCTCTCCAGTCCAACAACAACATGTATGTTTTCAATAAGCGATCAAAAACATACCCGTGAAATGTGTTACGAATATGAAACCAATATTTTTGTGCAACTTAATTGAAATTAAGACACCTTTTGAGCGAACAGATGGACTGACTAATCTACGTTTTTCATATATCAAGATCTCATGCTAGTCATAGTCAAGCTTTGAGCGCCAACCACGGTATTTCCTAATGCCGGGGGTGTGAGAAGGACTTTAATATTGAAACCGACGAAACGCACGACGGCCATTTTACCCCCTAGTACAATGGCTTTGAACCCGCCGTGGTTCGAAACGCTTCTTCCAGAATGTTGAGTCCGTCCTCCAGCTGCTGCTGAGTTATCACGATGGGCGGTGCGATCCTCAGACAGCCGTAGAAGCTACCCTGTGAGGAGAGCATAGCAGAAACGCCCAGCTCAAAAGCTCGCTCGGAAAGCCGTCTCCCCAGGTCGGTATCTGCCTTCTTCGTCTCGCGGTCTGAAACAATCTCGACCCCGGCCATGAGCCCACGGCCACGTACGGTGCCAATACAGCCGTATCGAGCCATCAAACGCTCTAACCCCGCGTGTAACAGCTTCCCGAGAACAGCTGCCCTTTCAACCAGGTTATCCCGTTGAATAATCCGCAGCACCTTGAGCCCAACCGCGGCGGGCAAGGGGTCGTTGACGTGGGTGGTATAGAATAGGAAGCCAGCGGCATCGGCCTCGGCTGCTATCCTGCTACTGGTTATTGTCGCGGCCAGCGGGAGGCCGTTACCCAGGGTCTTACTCAGGGTCAGGATGTCCGGGACGACTCCGTGGTGGTTTGAAGCAATAAGATCGCCGCATCGTCCCATGCCAGTTTGAGCCTCGTCGACGATCAGAAGCATCCCTCGCGCCTCACAGTGGGCCTTCATGGCTTTCATATATCCATCCGGCAACGTCATCATGCCTCCCGAGGACAGAACTGGTTCCATGATTACGGCGGCCAGTGATCCGCAGGACTGTTTGTCAACCAGAGACCAACCATAGTCCAGCTCCGTTTTCCAATCATACGAGCCGTCAGCATGGCGGAAGATCGAGCGGTACTCGTCGGGAGCAGGCAGCATGAGGTTTCCTGGCATCTATTATATTTCCCGTTAAACGTCAGAAGTGATATATGAACAGGGTTCGACGAAACGAAACCGGGGGGTTATCAACACTCACCGTTGGCCCATATCCTGCTCTACCATTCCAATACTGAGCCCCGTTAGACCCAAACGTCATACCATGCCAGCTCGCCGCCAAACCCACGATCTCAAACTTCCCAGTGACCACCTTCGCCAACTTGATAGCACATTCGTTACTTTCGCTCCCGGTGCTTAAAAAGATGGCTTTGTCTAGTCCCTCCGGCAGGGCCTTGGTCAACTTCATCCCCAACTCGATCACGGGCGGGGACACCATGCTACTATACACATGGTCCAGCCCGATAGCATGCTTGGTGATAGTCTCGACGATTTCAGGGTGTCCATGTCCGATCAGACAGGACATTTGGCCCGATGTCCAGTCCAGCACTTTCTTGCCCGACGCTGTCCAGAAGTATATGTTTTCCGTCCGAGTGACTACCTCGGGTAGGAAGTTGGAGCCATACTTCAGCAGACAGGCGTCGGCGTCTCTGAGGAGGGCTGCGTTGTCGAATTGTTCAGGCATAATTAATCCCCTTCTTGGAAACACTGTAGCAGTAGCTAATGAATTAATTTATAATGATTTTATCTCGATGCCATCCTGAGGACGGTAGAATATATATATATATATAACTACTATATTCTAGTGCATTAATTCTATGACAACTTCGTCAGCCGTTGGAGAACCGAAGCCCGAGAGCCATCCTACAGCTAGTGTGCGGAGAAGTCGCCGGGATTCTGTAGCCAAATTGAGCCTAGAAACCATCAGATCAAAAGGACGAAGAGTGTAGATAGACTTTCAGCCTCTCCAATGGCTGCGGAGCCATCGTATGCATGGTCGAGTTGGGCGAGATGAGCCGTCCGGCCAAGTGTTATTCGTTTATTTGGTCCATGATACGAAATGACTCAGGAAAAAGTGAGATCTAGAATCCTGGGGAATGCATATATAACATACGGATGAACTTATATTGAAGAATCAGGCGTGGGCCATTTGATACAGATATAACCAGGAACCTAAGAGGATAAGGACATGGGAGAAATAAAACTGGGGTCAAGAAGAGAGCAATGGAGCAAAGTACAGCAGCTATACAGGCGGGTGAAGCTACGAGTTCACGGCAGTACAGACAATAGGGACGGTGATAATAGCAATTATCTAACCGATTGATATAAAAAGTGTAGAAGTTATAGAAAAATATGGATATAGGAGTGTCCTCCAAGCTCTTTCACCGTCCAACTGTCGGTTTTTTTTCAATATGATGGGTATCAGTAGACATTTACGCACCCTCTCGACTCTTGCGGTAGTTTGCCTATTCATCAGTTAGTGACAATACAAGATAATGTACTGGAAAAAAAGACAAATTATACTTCTTGCTCGACCTGCAAGCCATCAACGATGGGACCAAGTTCGCTGAGGATCTCATAAGCCTTCTTATGGTACTCAAGCTGAGCAGCAATCAGGTCTGCCAAATTGCGCAGCGGTTCAGGGGTATCAATGACCTGCAATTCATGTTAGAATTGAGAAGTATGGCTCGGCGTGGTGGCAGACTTACGTTCTTCATTACGCCAACTGCCTCCTCGGTCTGTCCAACGAACTCATCCTCTGCCTGCTCAATCTCGGCACGAGCATCTTCGCTCAGGTGGTCCATGTCCTTGGTCGCACCCTTAGCAGCCTTGGTCGAGTCAAGCATGAGTCTCGAGTTCTCGACATTCCTTCTAGCCTTGGTCGCAAACATGAGGTTGGTGTTGAGGGTGGTGTTCCATCCAGCAAGGAAACGAGACTGAATCTGAGCATCCTGCGCCAATCGAGCCTCTCCGATCTTCTCAGATGCAAGAGCGAACTTCTCTAGGCCAACTGCCAATTGATCTTCGGTGCCGGGGGGGTTGGCATTGACGATGACCTGCGAGCTAGCAAGGGCGGCGCGGGCAATGGCATGACTGAAGGTCTTTGGCTGGGGCTTTGCAGATGGCGGAGCGGTCAGAGCCGACTGTGCTTCTCCTGGAGACGAAGCCTGCGAGAGAAGCTGAACCTTCTCGCTAATAGTACGGCCTAGGTCGTTGAAGGATTCGCGGATGTTGGGTGGGTAGTCATAGGCCTCGTTCGAGTATTGCGAGCTGCAGATTGAATACGACGGGTTAGCTTGGTAGAACGAAGCACATGGACATCGCGTGAATGACGGGTATGCAGAAGACGGTAGAACGTGGTGAATACAGCAGTCTACGGGCTCAAGTCATGGGGTCTAGCAAAACGTACGTGACCTGCAGGAGCTTCTGATGGACGGTCTTGAGCGCATCAACTCGCTTCTCGAGCTCGAGGTAATCATTTGGAAGTTGAGTCTAATGATGCCAAACGGCCATGCGCCGAGGAGCGTATATCAGCGTATTGCTCGGTGATAAGTTGTGAGGTGGTGCTGGATGGATCAAGTGGTTGTGGCAGTGATAGAAGGAAGCAGTACCCTCTCCTCAGCTTGACCAAGCTGTTCCTTGACGTACTGCTGTGTTCGGGCAGCAAAGGGACTGAACGTCGCACTGTAACGAGACTGCTGTCAGCTGCTGACCGGATCAAAGGGGGAGATGATAAGAGTAAGTAAGAGAGCCCTGCGCCTGCACCGCTGGCCGCCGCGTAGGTGAACTAGTTATCAGGGTCGGCCTAGCTGGGGGACAACAACATAAATACATACGTGAAGTTCTTCCCAAAGGCTTGCACTTTGTCCATGGCTGCGGCGAGGCTCTCCAGCTGGAGCGCGTGTAGCTATCGAAGAAGACGAAGAAGAACTAGCTGTCGTCCGCCGTCTGGTCGTCCAGATGGATTCGATGGCCGGGTTGGTGTTTGGTGGTTCTCAGTTGGTTCTTTTGGAAGCTCGTGAAATAAAGAGCGAAAGTCGCAGCGGGAGGAGCTGACTAAGCGGTTGCCTTGTGAGTTTACTTAGGAGACGGTTAAGGGGGGGTATAAGTATTATTATTATAAGGGCTAGAGAAATGCATAGGAGTTTTTGTGGTAGTTACTCTGATAATTGACTGGGCTAGTTGGAAGGTTCGCTGGTTAAACAAGCAGATAGCTAGAAGTATGAGGCTCTGTAGTTATCAATCTTTGCATCCTTTGCTAGCCTGGAAACAGCTGCAGAGCACCTCCTTAGAGACTCTATCTCCCTATCACCACCGAGCTTGACTCTGATGTTATCCTAATCTAGAGCTAGGTCGGCATTGTAGATTCCCTCCTTGGAGTCAACACAGTCTGCAGATTTTGTCTTGAGATTGGGGTAGGGGTCATAACACGCAGCTTCCGGCTGCTCGACCCCAATCGCAGGCTGGGGATGCCCAAAAAAAATGTCTTACCCAGGACAATAAAGGCTCTTCAGTTGAATCCGTACAAGGCAGCATGGAGAATACATGGTATCACTCACCGTTTTGGACTCCTCGTAAACACTTCGCCAGTGGCAGGATCCTTACCGAATACCTGCACCGCAGCAGTCAGTTCACCCATCCATTGAATATCATAAAACATCACAGGGCTGACCGGTGCTCGTTCCTTGCAGTATTGATAGCTTAGCACTCTAAGTTCCTCAGTGTTCGCTTTCGAAGCAGCTTTGGACGTCTCAATGAATTGGCTATTCCTCAACGGGTTCTTGTAACTTGGGAATTCTTTGATATCGAAAATTATGTCGATATTCGCCTCAGACTTTTTAAGGGCTTCTTTGACTCTCTTCTCCAGGTCCAAACTGAGCTCTGGGAACCCTATTTCTACCGCTAGAACAGGAATAGGCCCCTGATTCGAACGCCAAACCATCTGTAGGCTGGGTTCGGCTCGCACTCAATGCTTGCGTTTACCACAAAGATGAACGGTCTAGGATTCTCTAGCATGATTCTTCCAAGTTGAGTTGAGATAATCCCGGTCAGACCCAAGTGAATAGATTTTTTTTCCTGGTAGAGGTGGTTTGAGAGCCATCGTGATATTTAACCATGCCCATCTTAAACCTCCTAGATCTCGGAGTAAGCGTTAGTATGGAATGGCAGTTAGAAAGGGGATGACAAACCTCTTTGGCGACTCTTCAAAGGCCATCACGAGTTTCCTATACTCAGATTTGTTCGAATAGTGATCACTTCGCCGGAAAAGTCAGCAGGGAAAATTCCACGAAACAATTTGTCTCGTTGCTCCTGGTCCAGGAATTCATCGTCTGTCGGCACATCCACCTTTTTGGTAGTACTACGGGTATAGAACCGGAGACCGTGGCTCGTCTGTGAAGAAACAAGGGGTATATAATACACGGAGGCCTTGCATGAAACGGCAAAAACGCCTTACTAGTACTCGGCTTCAGCAGTCGAGAGACAACTGAGCATAGAGACATATTAGTAAAACGACTGAGCCAAAAGAATAAGCCCACGCTGGTGGCTAACAGGCTAAAGCTGTATAAAGATAGGCCAGCAGAATATGTAAAAGGAGAAGGCCGAAAGCTCAAGCAGGTTCTTTTATGTCTTTTTAACCAGAGTGAATCTGCCCATCAGGTGAATGGAAGAGCAAGGGCACAAAATAAGAGCTTGGTGAATACACCCAAGCAAGACGCTTGTACAAAGAAGTTAGAGGAAGATGCAGTAAAGTCCGTATAAATAAGTAGTGAATGCAGGCTTCCACTTGATGGTAGGCTACCACCAGGCGAGCAAATGAGCGGTGCCACTGCTGTGGTCCACAGAGGAAAGGGTATAATATTTAAGCGGCCTTGTTGTAACATTAAAGAGCCGTTTATATTTATGCTAAGTAAGTATCAACGGTCCCTTGCAGACGTGGTATAATGTCTGTGTGGTGGTTAAAGAAAGCCCTCAATGTTTGTGTTGAAGTTGAAGTCGTTTTTGCTGAGCTTATCTTAGTTACCAATAACTAAGCTATATAGACAATCGAGGTTTAGCAGGTTAAAGGAAGAGAAGTTGGTAGACTGGATTATTATTACTGGTAAATGTCACTATTTAGATCAGAGTACTATACACGGGTCTATGTATGTTTGACACAAGCCTGAGTTGTCCGTAGTTTGCTGTTTCATGTGCGGCCGTCATCCTCGAGAAACTCCACAAAAGCATAAAGCATAAATAAGAAGCGTAAGAAGCATAACATGCATACGTAAAATCACATAGGAGAGACATAAGAGACACAGAAAAATAGAAAATGAGAGAAAGGAGTGTATACCAAGATGCAAAGAGATAGTAAGAAAAACTGAAAATGCAGACTGAAGGCTGAACCGTGAGATGGGTGATAGATTCTGGCAATATGCGGGCTCTTCTGTTAGACGCTGAGACTGGAGAGAGAGAGAGAGAGAGATCAGGTAAGGGTGGCCATCATGGCGCGAAGAAGGCGAGGAGTGGGTGCTGTGAGATGCTTCGTTAGTAAGGACTCTGGTTATAAATAGGCTGGATAAAACATACCCTTGTAGTCTCTCTTGACGACGACCTCTGGTGCGTCCACGGCTGTCATGAGCTCACGCTCAGACATGTGGTGATGGTACGGCACCAGCAACCGTTCTGGATGGTCGTCCGCGACCTCAAGGACACGGATGGGAGACGAGCGTCGCCGGACATGACGTGGTCTAATTGAACGGACATCTGAGGGCGGAGATGGGGTTCTGCCTCCGCGTCTGGAGACGGATTGACGCCGCTCAACAGTCAGAGCAGTGTCTTTGGCTCCAACGATGACGGTCTCCTTCTCCTTGCTTCTCCGTGGAAGAGCTATATGCAACAGATTAGTTTCTTTTATACACGTTATTTTCCGGGGATATGGAGTTAACATACCGCCTGCTCGTGCTCTCTTGCTGTACTCTACCAACTCATGGATCCGGTCGTCGGTAAGGATCTTGTAGATCAGGATATCCTCCTCCTAGCACGCCGTTAGCTCTGGAACTGACATGCAGGGTAACAAAGAAAATAGAGAGAGAATGACTTACATATTCCTCGTAGTCGTAACCAAGGTCCTCGAGCGCAATAGGCGCAACCATATGCTTGGGGATACGGGTCGTCCCCGGCTTGGGGCTCGCCCGTCTCGACTTCGCGCGGGGTGGTGCTGGTGCATCGAGCATGGCTAGGCTGGACGAACGTCTCCCCCGCGGGGTGATGCTTCTGGCTGGCTTTATATCGGGCACGCGGGTCGAGCTGCGCTTCCGCGGGGTGACTGGTGGACCGTAGTCATCCCTATCGTAACGGCGGTAGTCATGGGAGCGCTTGGAGGCCGCGAGATCGAACCGGTCCAGCGAGGACTGACGACGCAGCAGCGTTGGGCGTCGAAAGCCTCGATCGTCACTAGATCGAGCAGGGGATACGTCTGGCCGTCTGCCGCCGCCGCGGTTGCTGCTGCTGATGCTGCTGCTTCTGCCTGGCCGGATGACGGGTACGAGGTGGGTGCTCTGGGTGTCGTTGGCGGCCGGCTGGACGTAGTCCGGGATGCCGCTGAAGAGCGAACGCCTGTCTCTGCGCACGTCGCGGTCATCCTCGACCATCGTCGCCGTCGCTCTGCGCGGCCGCATCTCCCGGTATGGCTCCTGGCGTGCGTCTCGCTCTTTGGTGAAGCGCTCAGCGTCCCAGCGCTGGCCGCCTGCAGCAGCGTTCCCTGTCGGGCCCGACATGTGGACCAATGCAGTCGTGCGTCTGTCTGTCTGCTGCAGCCGATCAGAGGAACAGTCCCCGGGCCGCCGGTGCTCAGGCGAGTAGTGATGTATGTATCTGCTGTCCGCGAACGGCGAGCGAGCTGCTGGCTCGAGTCAACCGTCTAAAACGGTGGTACGGCTCGTTCCGTGATGCTTTTGCGGTTTGTTTGGTAGCTTTCTGGATCTCCCCGTGGATGGATCAAGCGGTTGTCTCTGGAGGTCAGCGGTCGACCACGCCCTGGCACGCAGATGATCCTGATGAAGTTGCCCGGGGGTGCTAGAGAAGGATGAGGAGGAGGAGGAGGAGGAGGAGGAGGAGGAGGACGCTGCTGGAGCAGAGGAAGAAGTAGTAAAAGTGGCGACAGCCTTGTTTCCCGTCGCTTATGATGGCATCCAAAGTCAAAACATCTCAGCTCGGCTCGCTAGCAGCAACTCAAGGAAGAGAAGATAACAGTGATGGTGGTGATGATGAGAGTAATTGTTATAACAGTTGCCCGGCCTGTTCAGTCTCTTCCTCAAGCCCGCGATGCCAGCAGCAGTATATATAGCTTCCCGCCCGCCAGCGGCATCAACGACCGCGCAGCCAACCACCGCCGGCCCTGGACCATCCCCGTAAGCCTTGCAGATGGCAGAAGCAGCAGACAAAAAAGCAAAGAAGCAGACGAGAAGAAGAAAAGAAGAAGCACGAGAAAAAAAACCTCCTTCTAACCGCCAGCCAAGCACCAGAAGTTCTGTTTCAGCTTTAAAAAGCACGCTGAGACGGGCTTCTGCGGACAAATTTCATGCCTTGTACACATTTCTACGGCGTCTCCTGGCCCCCCAGACCAAGCTGCCCCAGCAACTGGCAGCCAATTGATTCTTTATTTCTGCATGCCTTTCAGACAGAAATGGGGAGCTCCTGGGATGGATGCTTCATCATCGCAACCCCCCTTGTGCTGCTGTCTGGGTGCCAATAATAGCTTTGTCGGTATCAAACATCTACACCCCCTATGATCCGCGGGAGTACGGTCTGCTCTGATTTGATTCTTTCAACACGTCTGCTCTTCGCGCCCGGCAGATGGACAGGTGGATGATCTCCTGGCCCGGCATTGGTCTTGCTCGCAGCTCCGGCCGGGCTGGTTGGCTGGCTGGCCGGGTTGGGCATGCATAGCAGCAGCGCCTGTTAGGAAGAAAAGACCCCCTGAGAACATGCTGATTGCTGGTGAGAGGTTGCCACCAGTACCACTACCAGCCACCTCCAACCACCCGTAGCTACCACCACCTCAGGGAGTGTGCCTGTTGGTCCTGCTGGTGCCTTTGCCCGGATCGAGCTGCGTGGTGGTCTTCCCTTGGGCCGAGAGATAGAGGGAGAGCTGGTGGATGAGGTCATACCCACAGCTACAATACACTGGCCAGCATACCAACAGCGCTATTAGTCGGTGATGCCCCGGAAACATGCCCAAAGGGACCCCAAAGCAGTCTCAGTGGAGAGGATGTCTTCTTCATAAACGGTATTTTTGTTCTAGAATACAGCAGTGGGGATAAGATACATATCTTCTTTGGTGAAACTTCCAAAGGGTCCCTCCTTTTGTAGCTTTTTTTTACAGCAAACCAAAGCCCAATCCTGCAACGAGGGCACATCCCAGCCCAGAGATGTCCAAGATGCTGGCATTCCTCCACGTCGATGCTTCACTCTTCGACACCTTTATTGACACAGGTGGTTTGGCCGTGCAGATGGGCTTCTTGACCACCGTCTGCGTAGCTGCTGCACCGCCAAAGTCACAGGCAGTGCGCCCGTTCCCCTTTTTGACCTGGTCCTCATAGTACGTGTTAAAGGCCCAGGACAGCTGATCTATCGGACTGCACATTCTGACTGACTTCTGGGGTGATATCCAACTCACGAGATTTAGAGTCTTCACGGGTGAGAGACCACACACTGTTGAAAAGAGTCGGGACAGGTCTTCGTCTCGGACGGTAGGCTTCGCTCTGCAGGTGATAGACCTCATCATGCAATCGCAGAGCTCCTTGTCTGGCGTTGGGGGCAGCTTTCGTGATGCTTGCCAGTCGCTGCTTATGGTAGGACAGGGGGCATTTGCCGTATTCACCGGTGTGTAAGCAGCCATTTTTGGCCCCTTCGGGCTCACCTTGGCCATCTGGTTTGCGAATGCAGTAAAATCGGAAAGCTTCTTGATCCTGGAACTAGCTGCATCGACAAGCCCTGCATGCAAAAGACTTAGTAAGACGGTCGCTTTTCCAGTTGTCTTGCACCAAACAGGGTTGCTTACCATAATTGTTCTGTTCCTGGAAGTACATATAGACGATCCCACCGGACCAGGTGCCCGTCATCTGGGGGCCGTAAATGGCCTGCACCTCACTAAACTTCCGGGGCTGAACAGTATTGCATCCATATTCGGCGAAGAATACCGGAACATTATATTTAGCAAACTCCCGAGTGCGAGCTGCATATCCAGACGTCTCAAATGTAGAGTCACCACACCACTCGTAGATGTTATAGCCCCAAAAGTCAATACGCTCGTCATCTATGCCGCAGTCAAAATACGCAGCAAGGTTCTTGCGAATATCTGCATCGTCATCAGTCGCATACCCAATACCCATCGGTCGATATTCCTTTTCGTAGATGTAAGCCTTCATGTCTCGCACTGCAGCCTTCACAAAGGCACTAGCATCCGTGGTGGAGAGGCTATTAGTAACTTCATTCCCGGCAAAAAACCCAATAACGTTTGTATATTTCGCCAGCGAGTCAATCACGGAGGTGTATCGATCGTAGAGCTTGACGTCCCATTCCGGGGTGTCACGGTTGATCGACTGGGAGGGTTCGGCCAGGTCGGCCAGGACGTAGATGCCGGCATCCGCAAGCAGTTGCATGCATTCGTCATGGTTCTTTTCAGGATGGACAGCATATACCCGGACTACGTTAGCATGCAGCTCCTTAAGAAGAGGGACATCTCTCCTGCATCCCTTGGGGTTTGCAAGGGGGTCATTGTATGTTTCGACAGAGGTATCACCGTCTATCAGAACAGAGATTACGGGGTATTTCAGCAATCATTCACACACGTCAACTCCTATGTCCCATCTATCGAGCATAGATAAGTACCTTGATACGCCACTCCTTTAATAAAGCTACCTCAGTAGTCAGCCATAGGGGTATAATAATGGTAGCTTGGGGGTCGTAGAGACGCACAACTGCTGGCCACTGGTCTTGTAGAAGAACCGAGATCCCTTTTTTGTTTGATACGATATCAGCGTCTATTAACCATCTTGGCCGGGGTAAGAGAACCTACTTTGATCACGATAGGGTCAAGCTCCGCTGCGATAACAGGGAGGGCCCAATAAGCTGCTAGCGCAATGGATAGAATGGTTTTCAAGGGCCCCATAATGGATACCGAATATCTTTTTCCAAGAAATGATAGCCAATATCATATACAAATTCCCTCAAACAAGAAAAGAGGAACTCGTAAGACGAATGTTTGATAGACAGTTTATCGATAAAAACCAGCATTTTGCGATTCACACTGATAGACAAAAAAAAAAAAAAGCTGATATATTGACTGCACTACACATAGCAAGAGCGGCCAGGGAAAGATAGAAACCCCCCTTGAAGTCTGTTTATATCGACTGGTTGCCATGGTAATCACTCAAAACACCATCACGACTTCCTCTCCTAATGTTCATCATTCTTGGGTATAAAGTCGTCCATCCATGAAATGGATGTCAAGATACCGCGGAGTACGTACTCCGAGACGGAAAGTCTCGACAACAGCTGAGCAGGGAAGCCCATGCTCCCGTAGAAGGATCCAAAGCCATGAATCCACAGAGGATGCTGAACTGCCCGTCGTTCGATGGTGAACTAGCCCAGCGATGATGGAGCAAAAGTGGCACTCGCACACGGCCCGGCCATGAAGATATATGCCGGGCACCTCTCCCAAGGGAACGCCTAAGAGAACGCCCAATATCGCCTATTCCTAATGCCCGAAGCTCTTTGCTGTCTGACCGTGTTTGATATCGACGGCTTTCGTGCCCAACTCCTGCCAGGCTCAAAGGAGGTTTGAGACCAGCCAACCTCGGCAAATGGATGGAACTGTATTATATAATCATGCCAAGATGAAACAACAAAAAGAGGAAGGTGGTAACCCCCACATAGAGCCATGTGACTTCCCCGTCTTGGCGTAGGATTGTGTATTATGTAATGTGGTTCTTGCACGATCCCTCAAGAAAGGAAGGATATGGTATTACTAATCAACCTCAGCCTCGCTTGGGCGATATCAAACATCAAGCATCAACTGTACCAGTCCTGCAGGGGAGTTGTAAAAGGTATAGAAGACGTGGGATAACTGGCTATATATTATACTTTGGACAGCTCTATCACTATATCCTCCGTTTCTAAATATTTTTCCAAAATAAATTGTGCCATCGTTACACTCTATACCGCTGTCTGCTGTCGGCAATTGATCACGACGTCGATATAGAGCATTACCTACATATTGTTGATTTTATACCCAGTATACCTCGTGCAAAATGGCAGAACAACAGGTTGCATGGATTGGACTTGGAAACATGGGAAGGGTACGGCAGTCTTTCTCTTTTGCTCTTGCAAGTGCCTTTGTCCAGAAATACATATCAATACCCATCCATTCCTTTTTGCCCTTCTCCAGTTTTGCTATATGAATGCGTTGCGTTTATCAACATGGATGCCTGTTATCATCTTCAGAGAGCAAAAGGGCTCGTATATTATGATGCTGGGCTGGGCGGCCGTCTGACCTGCCAATAGTCCCTTATAGGCGACCTTCGCCTTCGTTACAGCATCTCAGGAGGAGGCGTGGCGCAGCGGTGAATGTCTGCGGAATTTGCCAAAGCCCCACGCACACGGCCCTAAGTGTAGTGCCGACGGAGTGCCATGGATATCCTACGCCTCAAGAGCCGCTGCGGACTTGCGTCGCGTACATTGTGACTATTTATGACGGAGCGGGACCACCTAAGCGCACAGCTTGACAGGCCATCTCTTATAGATCGTCATAGCAGCGATAGCATGCGTAATGAGGAGTGAGCACTCTGCCCGTTCACTTCGAACCAACCCTTATTTTTTTATATATCTTGAATCCCTCTTGCATACCTTCCGCATACCAACTTGGGGATTGCGTGAACGGCGCCGAGATAGACGCAATTTGGAACGTCTGACAGCCTGGGTTCGAGCCTCGCTGGTTGCTCTTTTATTTTCATTTTATTCTTAATTCCTTCTTCTCCTTTTATTCCTTTTGATCTCAACGCCAGCTTCCCATCCTTGACTGCCTCGCCTTCTGCTAACTGCTTTTCCAGGGCATGGTCAAGAACCTGGTCGAGAAGGGACCTCTCTCGAAGCCCCTGATAGTCTACAACAGGACTCAATCCAAAGCCATCGACCTTGCAAAGACCCTGTTACAGCAGATAATTCCTGTATCAACAGTCAAGGAGGCAGTGGAAAAAGCTACTATTATATTCATCTGCCTTGGTGATGACCCTGCTGTCGAGAGTACTATCGACACTGCCTTGAAATCAACAGATGTCAAAGGTAAACTGTTTGTCGACTGCTCTACAGTCTCTCCAGATACAACCAGGCGCCTGGCTCAACTCCTTGAATCCTCGGGTGCCTCCTTTGCTGCCTGCCCTGTATTCGGAGCACCGTCAGCAGCAGAGGCAGGCAAACTGGTCTGTGTCCTTGCCGGGCGCAAGGAATCCGTTGAACGTGTAAAGCCCTTTTGCACCGGTGTGATGGGCCACGCTATCATGGATCTATCTACAAAGTCAGAGGACCCCGGAAAGGCTTCCATGCTAAAGGTCCTTGGCAACAGTGTGATATTCCGGATGGTTTCTGCAGTCTCTGAAAGCTTGGTTGTTGCTGAGAAGTCTGACCTTGGTGTCGAGTCAATACATTCTTTCCTCGAACTCTTCTTCCCGGGGGCGGCGGTGGCTTACTCGAACAGGATGGTATCCGGCATGTATCACACGCTGGAAGAACCTCTTTTTGCAGTCGACTTGGCGCGAAAGGATACAAGACATGCCATGGACATGGCGAAAGCTGTAGGTGTCAGGATGAAAGGCGTGGAGGTGCTGGACGAAGCATTACAAGCCGCCAAGTATCATCCAGGAGCAAAGGGAGATCTGTCTGCTATCTACGGCGTCGCAAGACAGGATGCTGGATTGAAGTTCGAGAACAATCAGTTAGGGCAATAGCGGGAAAAACTTTGGGATTAATGAATTAGTGAATTATTCTATTTGCTAATTAACTAGCCAGCTAGGTATCGTAAAGTATTTACTTGTGATGATACAACTATCCGTCACTTAGAGAGGATTAAATGCCCGTAGGAGTAGCGTTTCCTGTCGTTGAGACCCTTGAGAGGCTATCTCCTCCGCCTCTTCCAAGGCAAAGAGCAAAGTGCTCGACCGAACTACGAATTCTAGCACAGTATTAGTGAAATTAAAAGCAAAAGTCTTAAAAGGCGAAGTGGACCTACCATCAACCTCAATCGTGTAATATACTATGGACTCTGCTAGGTTGGCAACTCCACGAAGGAACCCACAGCTAGCCACCTCCCGAGTACTGCCAATATGCAAGCTTAGTCCGGAATTCATGTTTGGGTCCACCCACCGAACGTCCTGCTCAGTCAGACAATGGTCGTCTTCATCGTCGAGTGGATGGAAGTCTGAATCAGAGTCGCCTTCGTAAGGGTCAGTGAAGTGTCGCGGTGCGTTCAAGATGGGCTGTTGAGCAAGCCAGTCTCTCCGAAGCCGCACAACTCCCTTGGAGACTTTAACACCGGAAGGTAGACGGTCACCAAAAAGCTGAGCACTCACACAGACCTGCGAGAAAGGCTCTGCCGAGTCCACAAGGAGTCTAAATGGTGTGACTCGGCCCTGACTGCCTATGGAATTTTTGCGTTGAGTTTTGAGGCCCCCCATATTGATCCTGTTCTCACCCAAGATACCCCCTATTCTCCCAGCTTCATCAGCCTGGTCGTCTATTGTGAAGACTTTCCAGTCCGGCGAAATTCTTGATTCAAAGTGCTGCATTACCTTGAACCGAGTGTATTGCTCCCTTAGGATACCCAAGTCGCCAATTGAGAAGACATGGTCCAGAGATAGTAGTCCTTCGAGCTCCTCAGGGTGTTCACTTGGGGTATGGGGCAATGTCCTGGTATCAAGGTATGTTCCTATTGTGCGACCCTGCAGGGCCACTCTGGAAGGGAGATGGCAATCCAGTCGAAGAGTATAGTTTCCCTTCAACTGCCGTATGGCCGAGAGCCGGCGACTGAGTATATGGCAGATGATGTTGTAGAACCGAGAGGAGACTTTAGTCCACGGCAAAAGCTCACGCGAGGGGAATACTTCTAAGACAGTGATGAGAAGCTATAGATCCAAGAAGCGTCAGTTGTTAACCTTTCATCAGGCTGCTATATCTATTCATAGACAATGACATACCTCATAAGGAAGCGTGTATATAGGTGGCGAGGCACTGCTAATGAACTCCATATCTCTTGTCGTTTATGGCGCCCTGGCAGTTACTTAGATCGAAAAACTGAACACCGGCGCCGAATAGTTAGTTCGACCGGCTCAAAAACAAAATATGAAGGTTGCGTGGAGAAAGAACGAGGAAAAAAGAAACAGCCAAAGAAGAAAAGGAGAAAAGGAACAGCCCAAGCGAGCCAGTTAAATAGTCAGGCTATTCAACCAACAGGCCCGGCGGTTGCTTCACCTCCCTTTTCGCGCTTCCTTGTGATGTCTTTATTTTCTTGCGCTGGAACTTTGCCGCCAAGAGCCAAGTGTAAGCGGAGTATTAGTCATCCGCCGTGTAAACACTCTGAAACCGCCTGCAGAGGCCTCGAGGGCCAACTTCCTTATTGTTAGATGACCACCATACATACTCAAGAATTCGATTGACCTCGCCTGGTTGTGTCAAGCATTCGTTCGCCCGTCTTAACCTGGTCGCGATGAGCTTCTTCTCACGACGGAGAGGGACCGTTCACCCTTCGAGCCATGGGCCGGCGCGCCCCTGAGTATGGATAATGGCGGAGATTCGTAGGGTTCTCCGGCGAGTTCATCGTCAAACGCGAGGTTTCGCACGAGAGTTGCCAGCCGCTGATGACCAATGTGGCCCTGGCTAGATATCGAACCTATGCATATCCATGCGTCAGCCGTCATGGGCCCCCTTTGTTCTGGGGGAGTTTGCTCGTACCACCTCACGAACGGTTTGACTTGGGCTGTCCCGACTGATAGTCCTGCTTATCTCTCATCTCTGCTCTAGACTGACTCCAGGAAATGGCTGCTTCTTCCATGATCTCTGTTGGCACACATCGCCTCTTCATATCCATAAGTGGGGCCCCGCGGTCGGCCAGGGATCCTATTGCCGTCATTACAACCGGGGCTGGGGATGTCTCCTCTTCACACGTCGCGATTGAGAGACTAGTGGCACCCTTCTGCGGAATTGCCTTGTATGACCGGTCTGGCCTTGGTCGCAGCGAGGACGGGCCCCAGAAGCACACAGCCGCCGTGGCTGTCACTGAGTTGCATACACTCCTGGATCGAGCAGGAGTTCATCCGCCACTTATTCTCGTTGGCCACTCCTACGGCGGAATAGTGGCGCGCGAGTACTTCCACCTATACCCAGACGATGTGGCAGGTATGGTTCTTTCGGATGCTGCTACGGAAAGAACCACCCAGTATTTTACGATACCAGACCCGAACATCGAAGCGGTATTGGGAACCCTCAAGTACTCGCAGGTTACCGGGCTAAGAGATGATTCAGTACTGACTCGTGACGAATGGAGAACGCGGGCTGCGGATATCGCTCGGGGTGGAGTAGCCGCCCAAGATGAAGCAGCAGCATCTATAGAGATATGCGAGACTCTCGGGCAAAAGGAGCAATACAGAAGATGTGCCATGGGTACTAAACCATTAAGTGTAATTCGCTGCAACAGTGCAAGGGACTACGAGCGGATATATGAGAAGGGTGTCGACGCGGGAAACGGTACTGAAGAGCAGCAACGAAAATTTAGAGAGCTCTTGGATAGATGGGATGACATTGACCGCTTGATAAAGGAGGAACAGCTTCAATTGTCATCGAGAAGTCGACTGAGGCACGTCCCTGATTGTGGCCATAACATCCATCTCATTCGACCAGATATTATTGCACAGGAAATACAGTGGGTGAAGGAGATGATCATAGAAGAGTCTCACCTTTAAACACCCCCTTTACTACAATTTTATCACCGTACTTAGTTCGTTTTAATTAAATACCCATAGGTCTATAGAGCGTGTTATACCTCTTGCATGAAAATAGTCAGTCCCGTGAGAGGGTTGCAATAATGCCTGAAGTGTTCATCCTCGGGCGATTGCTGAGCGATGTCAAGCCCTGATATGAATCTGATTCAAGAATATGTTTTATTAATCATGGCGTCCAATAGACGGGACGGGATTATTTAGGTCACGTCAGCCAAGGATAGCCAAGCTTTGTTTGGTTCCAGTGAACCAATAAAAAGGCTATAAAGATTTCTAAGCCAGCCAATGAAATGATTTCCAGTTCAATAAAACTGGCTTTTAGCTTTTATGGAGCTTCAACGCTTCAACTCCCCCAAAAAGCTGCTGAAACAACATGAACGACTCAGGCTTGGATACCAACAATGCCAAAACTCCGCACACTCCCCTTCTGGCTGGCCATTAAAGTGTTTATTAGACGCATTATCTACAAGCTGAAGACGCCCCTTAACTTACGAGGGAGTATTGCTATCCTTCGACACAATCACAAGCATCCATATCTCACGCTTCTCCGCCTGTTTGTGCCGTGGCCGACATGGCGGTTTCCATTACCAGAGCCGGTACCCGCGAAGGAAATGTTGGGGAATGAAGCCCTGATGAACCGCCGGCGTTGCAGCTTTAACAAGTATATGTCTGTGCCTATTTGGCGTATACGGGATACCCCCTTACGGTCCCTCCATCGACTATACGAATCCATGGCTTCTGGTGAATATACCCCTATAGGCCGAGAGACTGAGTACTTTTGGTACAGGGGTTGGCCACTCGAGACAATCGAGGATCCCCAGGATCCAGATCCTATACGATACGCGATTATTGCATCTCTTGTAGAAGAGCTTGTCACTGCATTCAACTGGAGACTAAGCTTAGGGATGAGGAGAGATCACCAACACGTCCTTAGAAGCTCCGATGATGACCCGTACCCACCGTATATACCACTGTCTGGCCCCACGTGGACTGAACATGTCCCCCCGATCATGCCAGAACACCTAGAATGTCTACCTTTGGGGTTTACAAATGAAGAGCACCAACTTGTGCTTGAAGAGAAAGGCTGCAACAAGATATTTCTGAAACGCAATATCGTTACTAATGTTGGCTGGCTCTACACTATATGAGAAGTAAGTGCACTACTCTTTCATACCACGCGCATTGTTCTGATCGTAATATCTTTAGACTCGTATTGACCAGCCCTACCCAGCGAATAGGAGGCTTGTATAATTTTTCAACGTCAACTCCAACTATCTAAATATCTCCTCATTGTACTTGTCGCGATATGCGGTTGCGATGAGGTCCATAATTTGATGATCTGGCAGCACATCAAAGGAGTTGACATTCAATGTACGGATATATTCGCGGTCAAGCGGCCCATCCTGCCGTTCTCTCAGACATTTAAGCATTGCTAGACAGTCGTTCATGTCGAACTCGGCCTTTCGGCCTCGATCTACCGCATAAATCCTCCTGATTTTTCGCTCGACTGCCCATTCCATTGGGGCTGCCAAAAGGACGAGGTTTTCCCCTTTGAACAGGACGATATTCTGCTCCTCCGCCTTACGAAAGAGCTCCTCCCTTGTGGAGCTTGTCACGAATAAGGCAACGTCCTCATTCGCCCACTCCGTATCGAAGAAGAGCCGCTCCCCCGTCCTAAATATCGCTTCTTTAAGTGGTCTTTGGATATCTGGGTCTTTGGCCCATTCTGGCTCCAGCAGGTAGTCGAGATCTCCGGTCGAACTTCTACTTTGGAGATACATCACGGCCAGGAAACCTCCGGCGGTAATCATGCGAATAGGAGCAAATGCCGCAATCATTTCGTTTTTTCCCATTTCCTCGTCCAATGCTTTCAGGCCTAATCGTCACGTTAGTGACGGTAATCGAAATTACTATGTAGGTCTTCGTACCTTGTTCAAAGTCTCGTTTATCAAGGTAGCTTTTTTTCTCGGGTGAAGCCATCATCTAACTGTTAACCGTTAATTGTTCAGGTAACGTATCTGTCCATACAAGGGACCTGTTGACAGGCACAGAGGGCATGTAAGACATTATTTGACTGGTATTCAAAGCCTAGGTACTGCAGTGGCCTAGGTTTAAGAGAGTATTATATTAGAAGTAAGGAGGAAAGAATTAAAATACCACAGTTGCGCATAAGGCTCGTCCCAGGTAGGAAGCGAAGTGTGTTCCCCCAAGAGAGAGCTTTACCCCTTGTGGTTAGGTTAACTAGTCAACTGCCTCGGCAGCGGGTCCACTCCTTAGTTAACTAGCAAGCGTGGCATCAGCGTCAGCATCGACCATCAACGGAAGTGTTATCCTGCTTAACTACTATCACTACTTAGTAGTTATTTAGATACAGCTTCTCACCCACCAGACCACAGACACAATGGCTCGTCTGAGCTACCTCCTCCTCGCCTCCCTCTCCGTCTTCAATGGCGTCCTCGCATCCAAATCCGCTGTCTTGGACCTTACTCCTAAGAACTTTGATGACGTTGTCTTGAAGTCCGGCAAACCAGGCCTCGTCGAATTCTTTGCCCCATGGTGTGGACACTGCAAGAACCTTGCCCCCGTCTACGAAGAGCTCGGTCATGCATTCGGGGCAAGCAGCGAGAAGGTCTTTATCGCGAAGGTCGACGCTGATGCCCATCGACCTCTAGGCAAGAGATTTGGTGTACAGGGCTTCCCCACGCTCAAATGGTTTGATGGCAAGAGTGATAAGCCAGAGGACTATAACGGTGGAAGGGATTTGGAGAGCTTGAGCGAGTTCGTTGCGAGCAAGACCGGTCTCAAGCCTAGGTTGAAGAAGGCCCAGCTCAGCGAGGTTGTGATGTTAACCGATTCTACTTTTGATAAGACCATTGGTGGCGATAAGGACGTTTTTGTTGCTTTCACTGCCCCTTGGTGCGGACGTATGTTGGCCGGCTCTCCTCCTAGACATGATATTTCACTTCATTGATGCTAACAGGCCACTTAAACAGACTGCAAAACCCTTGCTCCAATCTGGGAGAATTTGGCCACCGATTTCATTCTAGAGCCTAATGTTATCGTTGCAAAGGTCGATGCTGAAGCTGAGAACTCCAAAGCTACGGCCAAGGCCAACGCTGTTGCTTCTTACCCAACCATCAAGTTCTTCCCTCGTGGCTCCAAGGAAGCCGTTGCCTACACTGGTGGACGCACTGAGAAAGACTTTATAGACTTCTTGAATGAGAGGTGTGGAACTCACCGTGAAGTTGGAGGTGGTCTGAACGATAAAGCTGGTACAATTGAAGCCCTTGATGCCATTGTTGCCAAGTACATCTCGGGAACCAGCTTCGAGCCCATGGTCAAGGAGATTAAGGAAGCTGCTGGATCCCTCTCGGCTAAATATGCCGATTACTATGTTAAAGCTGGAAATAAGTTGCAGGAGAACGCCGAATATGCTCAGAAAGAGCTTGCTCGTCTGCAGCGTATCTTGGACAAAGGAAATCTTACTCCTGAGAAGATTGATGATTTGGTTTCTCGAAGCAACGTCCTTCGTCGGTTCGTGGGTGAAGAGAAAGCCAAGGATGAGTTGTAATTGATCTTCAACTCATTCTAGTTGCAACCCATCGTTTCTTGTTTTCTGCAGGGAAGGCTTTACATTGAATTCAAAGTAAAAGGACTGATTGTTTTTGTGCCGTTGTATGGCTATGAAAAGTTGCCTATATGATTAGACGCTGTTTCATTATCTATGGAGCGATGGCTTTTAGAAAAATACATCATTTTTTTTCTTGTGACATGTATCAAAATGGACATTCGACTGGGTATCTAAGCAGCTAAGTAATAAGTCCAAATAATCCGCCATTTCATATAAGGCGTAGGTCGTAAGTAGGCTCTAGCCCTGCGCTGCAGCTCCAAGTTTGACGGCTGCATCATTCAGAGCGAACCTCTTCAAATGACCTCTCCGCTATCGTGGCTTAGCGTAGCAACTCAAGAGTTCCAACCCCATGAGACGGTTATTGCATTAATACTCAATAACAATAATAGCATTAAAGCTCAAGCCGAGTGGGTAGAATCACGAGTGGAAGCAATCGAGTTCTCGAGCTCGTCAATACGCCGCGACATATCATCCACTAGAAGTCCTCTTCCCATTAGACTAATGGTCCAGAATGGTCGAACTACAAAGGGCTGAAGTAAAATATGGTGGTATGTAAGGGACAAAACTCTCACATTTCCCTAGTATTTCCGTAGAGACATTCTCGAAGCGATTTTGCAATTGATCTAGCAGCTCGTCAACTGCAGTCACGAGTTGTTGGGCACTGTTCTCATCCGCCACCTGTTAACAGAAACAGTATAAGTTAGCAGATCATACTTAAAATACTACGGGGAGGTTGGATGCTAGGCCATCTATAGCTTACTCCTTGCTGTGAAGTCTGCTGGTCATCGTTGGGGGATGCAACGTAAGAGTCGCGGTTTGTAGTACTCATTATTCCGCTTCTGTAAGACTCTGAAACGTAGACTATGATGCTATCTTCCCGCCAGGTATAGGGATGCTGAGACAATTAAAACGCAGAGGACAACCAGGAAATATGTTTAGCTTGTGTCTTGATGTGTTACTGTCGCGGGTTGCAACTCCAAGCAGGAGCGTTTAAGTGGGGATCAGATAAGATTAGATTAGATTTGATTATTAATAAAGACTAACCGTTTTTGATATAGCTTAATGTCCAAAATTTTCTAAGCAAAAGCAAAAGATTTGATGATAGCAAATTCGCTTTGGCGCACCAGGAACGCATTTCTTTTTCTAATTTTCCCTCGACGAGCGCTGGTTTTCTTCATGAAGTGTCAATAATAATTGAGAATTAATCATGGCGAAGAAAAGCAAGCTCCTTTCTGCATTGGATGTGCACAAAGGGCGCAATTTCGAGCTAGAACACCAGAAAAAGCTGCAGAAGGCAGCAAACAAAAGGAAGGAGAAGCAATTGAAAAAGACCGAGGATGAAGAAGAGGAGAAGGAAGATACCGAGCAATTGGTAAGATAATTAGCCATTTGGCATTTGAGTAAAACATGGGAATAGCTGTTAACATGTACTGTGCGCGCAGAAAGACGTTACCCTTTTAATTGGGAAGGAAAAGCCAGAAACCAAAATGGGTACAAAGAGCCAGAGAGACGTGAAGAAGTCCAACAGGAGGGATGAAGACGACGAGGATGTAGAAGAGGAGGAGGAAGAAGAGGAAGAGGAAGAAGACGATGATGAGGAAGTGGAGGAGGAAGCTGGCGCAGAAAACGAAGATGGAGATGAGGAAGAAGAGGAAGAAGAGGACGACGAAGACGACGAAGATATCCCACTCTCAGACCTCTCTGGTGACGAAGCTACAGACGTTATTCCTCACCAGCGGCTAACAATTAACAACTCCACTGCCATTCTAGCCTCCTTGAAGCGAGTAACCCTCATAAACGACCAAATGCCATTCTCTGAACACCAAACCCTTACCTCCACAGAAACCATGGATGTCCCCGACCCAAATGATGATCTGAACCGCGAGCTTGCATTTTATAAAGTCTGTTGTGCTGCTGCGAAGACAGGACGAGCGCTATTGAAAAAAGAAGGAATTCCATTTTCACGGCCTACAGACTACTTTGCTGAGATGGTGAAGGACGACGAGCACATGGACAAGATCAAGAAGAAATTATATGAAGAAGCAGCTAGTAAGAAGGCTAGCGCGGACGCGAAGAAGCAGAGAGACCTGAAGAAGTTCGGGAAACAAGTACAAATCGCCAAAATGCAAGAGCGACATAAGGAGAAGAGGGAAACTCTGGAAAAAATCAACGAGTTGAAAAGAAGTACGTTTTTTCCCCTTACTATTTTGTCCTTTATCTAAGTCATGTGTTGTACGGAAATACTAACGATGAACTACAGAACGCAGAGGTGCAGGTAATGGCGAGGCGGAGGAGAGCGAGCTCTTTGATGTTGCGCTTGAAGAGTCAAGCAAGTCTGACTCCCGCCATAGAGGTCGAGGCAAGGATGGCGAAGGATCTCGCTCTAAGAGACAGAAAAAAGATGCGAAGTTTGGCTTCGGTGGTAAAAAGCGCTTTGCAAAGAGTGGTGATGCTATTTCTAGTGGTGATCTGAGCTCATTCTCTACCAGTAAAATGAAGGGAAAGAAAACTGGGGCAGCGAAGAGGTTAGGCAAAGGCAGACGTCAGGCAAGACGATAGGAAAGATAGAATACCCAAAATCATTGCTTGATGCTGTACCTTATTTTATATTGTAAACATGTCCGCCTGGCTGGCAACAAAAATTTGGGACGTGATAGCATTGAATTACTGTGTTTATATGGGCTCTGGTTAAGGAGTAAATATAGCTTGGAGCATTTCTGATTATACAAGTTTAATATCTCTTTCAATTGGGGCCTTTTGACCGCATGCAAGCGTGATATAGCCAATATAATTAACGGCCAACAGTATTTGCCTCCCCCTTGGAGGAGAAACAGGTATATCCCAACTCTTAGCTCCGTGAAAACGATCTCAGAAGACCAGATGGGATGTCTGCTATATATATGGGATGCGGCCGGCGACATGTGTCTACTGCATTCCATAGGCATTCGTAAGCAGGTGAATACAGTTGCATGCTGGAAGTCGATTTGAGAGGATTAGAGTCCATCTCAGAGCAGCTACCCCGAATCCCAGTTCATGGCGCAGGGGCGCTTGGGATTAAGACATCCAAGCAAGTAAACGCATCACTGTCTATAGAGGCAAAGCAATAGAGCTTTCCTCACAGCGAGTATGAGTGCTTGCGGTATGTGATCTTTCATATGTCCATATTTGTGGGTGTCGGATCAGGATCAATAGGATCTCCCATAATATTAGGAAGCGTAGGACCACCTAAATCGCGGATACGGCTTAACAGGTTGTTAACCGAGACATTGACGTTGAGTCGTTGCTCTGCAAAGACCAAATCAAGTTTTGACTGAGTGTCATCCGCGTGGACGAGGTTATGATCATCGATTGCTCCCTTCGATCTCTTCAATGTAGCTCTCGGTATTTGCTTGCCACAGCCGGTAACAGGGCAAACCCATGTGTCTGGTGGAATTTGTCCGTTCACTACTACAGTGCCGTTCTTGTCATCTTTGTTAGTTTCTCCATCAGAATATGGATGATCTTGATTTTCCGTAGGCGAGGACTCATGAAGCAACTGCGCCCCTCCTTTGGTTGGTGTGTCCTCTGCAACAAAAATATCCTCCATCTCTTCTTCAGAGTCCACGGAGGCGTAGTCCCGGTTTCGTTTACCCGCCTTTTCAGATGTCTTTGGTCGGAGGATTGATTTGCGGTTTCTCCGCTTTCGATTCTTCTTTACTCGACCTTCGTCCTCCTCGTCCTCCTCTGATTCTGGGCCCGATTCGGATACGTCTACATTCTGTCGAGGTCGAAGAGGCGTTGCACCAACTGGTGGGATATCTTCGAGCTCCGTAGCTTCTTTCAGTTGCCGATAAATTGCCCTTCGATGCCAATCTGAGGAGGCAGTACCCTGCGCTTCATCCATAAGTTTTATCACACTCCCGGCCCGTGAATTTACCAGGTTAATTGCATCCTCCAAAGAGCTCATCTCGTATTTCTCCAGCAATTCTTCGGCCACATTCTTCAAGTGTAACTTCCGCTGAGCTAACAGTCCCGCATCTTTCATTTCCAGGATAATCTCGAAAATGGCGTTGGCCTGAGAATTTTCTTCAGCGTTATCTGCAGGATGGGAGTTCTCCATTACTACGTCTGATTTCGAATCTTCCTCCGAATGGGGATCGTTGAACAAGTCCTAAAGCATTGTCAGATACCATTATAAAATGCAAGTCAGGGCAGGGGTTCGGTACCGGAAACTCTTCACGTAGGTGAGAATACACCAAAGTGCTAGGCCAGTCAATGTCCTCTTTCCCTTGAACCATTTGTCGAATGAGAAATTCATGATGCTTGTTGAAGACCTCCAACGACTCTTCGGCGTCCTCACAGGCACCATGTGTGTGCCGCGTATACTACCACAGAATTCATCCATCAGTATGTCCATCCAACAAGGCAGGTAAACAGTGGGTGACAGACCTCATCCAGCAAGAACTCCCAGGTCAATTTTTTCCGGTTCTTTCCCTTCCGCTTCTTAGGCTGGTACTGGTCAACTAGGAAATATAGCAGATCAACAGCTTCAACAACCTCCTGGAACATAGGCTTGTAGCCCTTCGCGGGAGAGATCGAGAACCACCCCGCATCACCAGCTGCCCAGATTCCAACTCCACCATCGCCGTCCTGCCCATATGCATAGTGCGTCACATTTTGGATGACCACGCGCTTTTGAAGGTAGTCGCCGTCGAGAACTACATCGAAGAAAAGGGGCAAATTGTCAGCGCGGAAGCTTCATTTGACAGAGAGGGGTGGGTGAATTGTAGATTCCGGAGCGGACGGAGTTAACGTGGAGTTCGCATTCCCCTTACCGAGAGATTCTTGACCTTCATCAACTTCCTCAAGCTGACCGGTAACCATCAAGGGGTTATCCTCTGACGCAGACAGGATGTTCGCATAGCGCGTCTTGCCTGGAATGTAGACCTTGACGTCCTTCAAGCTGAACTCCTCCCAGTCATTTTCATCCGTCAAGCCGGGATCCTTGGAAGCTAGAACTTTTTCTATGCGTGCTGTCATGTCTCCGAAACCACCATGATGGCGAAT